TAATTTTGTACATATATATCTGATATAGTGGGCATGAGGCTAAGAACCTCGTCCTGTAAAAAGAATTTTGTTCGGAAACCTAACAACCAGCCTTGGGTCATCATGCGTGGGTCCATATTGGTTGTGGAGATTGGTTGTAGAGGAGGCCAAGGCTCAACCAGGGCTGTAGCGCCAAGTGGTAGGTAGGTAGTTACATCTGATAGAGATTATAAATATTCTGAATAGAAAGTGACATCTGTCATTTCTGCACAGCCCAGAAACGAGCTGCTGCTTACCCTGGAGATGACCCAAGTTCGGCAGGAGACATTAACTCCGTTTACAGCGCAGTTCCCTCCAAACTTGCCACTAATCCTATGAGCCCATTCCTGTCTTTAAAACCATTCCTTCCAGTAAAACCAACAATTGTATCCCCATTCGTTGATCCCAACATCTTCATTGGAAAGAAAGCTGCACTTCTGAACAACCTCTTTGGTTCTGGGATTGCTCCTGCTCCTGCAGGTATGCCATTTTTCTTTCCTCCTTGGATATCAGGAGGGGTCATATCACCTCCTGGTTTCTTTGCTGAGAAGAAAACACTTTTGGGTACAGCAGTGGATAGTGATGCATCATCCTCTTCTCTAGATTCCAAGAGAGCACTCACAGAGCCTGAACCAGAACACGAAGCAACTGTCTCAGCTCAGCCCCGTCTTGTAATTGGACCACCCTCAATTTGGGGGCCTCCTGCTGCTGTAACTCCTACTGTGAAGCCAACAATTGTACCCCCTGGGTACTGGAGTCCATTTGCAGATGGTTCATCAGCAGCTGGACCAGTGCCTCCAGTTGTAGACCCATCTGTTTTCTTGGATAAGAAGACAAAGTTCCTCAGTGAACTGTTTAACAGCCTTAGTGCAACCCCAAGTACATCTGAAGTGTCAGCAAGAGCTATAGCTACTGATGAGTCTACAACAGATCCCTTGCAAGCTGTTCCCCCAAATTTCTGGCTCCAGTTCATCCCTGCTTTTGCTACACCTCCACCAGCCCCCACTGTGAAACCTACTATTGTTCCGCCTGGGTTCTGGGTACCTTCAGTTGTTACCAAACCAGCTGGTTTCTTTGGTCCTTCAGTTCCTGTTGTGGATCCAGCACAATTTATTGACAAGAAAACAGCTTTCCTCAAAACCCTTTTCAGCACCCTCAATATCACAGTTACACCTGCCCCAGTAACAACTCCAGAACCTACCCTTGACCCTGTCATAGAGTATGAACAGAAGGTAGCTGAATTCCTGGACAAACTCTTTACTGCGATCATCAATAATGATAGTGCTGGTGCTACAGCAAAGCGGGATTTGGCAGGTGCTGATGAAACGGCAGCCAAAGGAGAGAAAAACTTTCTAGGAAAAGAAAATGAAGTCTATGACAGTACTAGAAATGCAAAGAGTAAAACTGATGCTCAAGCAACAGATGAAACTGGCGATTTTACACGAAGGAGTGTTGACACAGCCAATGACACTTCATCCGTTGGTGCTCAACAACTTCCAGTAGATGCACTTCTCAGTGCCAAGGATAAAGTTGTAGACACCATCATAGCAGAGATGGGTGGAATCAAGAACAATATTCTGGCTACTTTGGCTGAACTAATAACAAAACAGAAGGAAGCAGCTGCAACACCTCCACCAACCCCTGCGCCAAAGAAGAAGCCTGGTCCATCATTTGGTCCTGGTGGGCCATTTGGTTTTGGAGGGCCATTTTCACCATGGGCTAAAGTTGCTCTTACAACTACTACACCAAAACCAACCCCAGATCCTGAACCATTCCAAAAGAAAGTTGAATTTCTCAGCCAAGTGTTCGACACGCTTACAAAGTTGGAGAAAGACGTTACAGAGGCACTGAGTCAGGCTGTTAGTGAAGCAGCAGCTGCAGCTACAACCACAACTACTTCTATTCCAACTACACCAGAAACTAAACCCATAGTGCCCACTTCACAGGTCACGAATGGCACAAAACTCATAGACCTTATCAGAAGTAAACTTATTGAACTTGCCAACTCCTCCGCACACAGCCAGACTTCTGAACAAGGCTCTCTGATGCAACAAGTTCCAAAATATGCTCGGGCTATCAAACCGACGCTGACTGAACCTGTACCCACCATAGTAGATCCATCTTTCTGGATACCTGATACTGCTGCTGGTGCTGTGGTTGGTCCTGACTACTACATAGGGAAGACACAGTCATTCCTGAGCAAGCTGTTTGCAAGCAAGGCAGCAAAGACTGGAGATGATGATCAGGCATCCACAGACAACAAGGCAAGAAGCATCAAGATGGCAGTACACCAGGGGTACCAGAGTCTCCCCCCGGGTTCAGAGGAACTCCTCCAGGCTGGAGGTGGTACCACACCCCAGAAACACGAAGGAGGGGGCCTCAAGCTACAGGTAAGAGTCTGACAGTTTGTTGCAGATAATGTATCTCGGTGTTATTAAAGTTCAGATGGCAGGCGATTTCTATTTTCATGACACGGAAAATTTGAAATATGGTCTAGATTATAACACTGTGTAGCCTTGTAGACAGTTACGAACATTTCAGAGGAACCTGCTTCCTCCATGTTCACTTCTACCCTGAAAGTGGAGGCAGCAGGTTCTTCGAAGGACTGTTGCACACTGATAGTATCATAATTCATACTCTTATTCTAATGTTAGAATGATTAAAACGAGAAAGATGAGACATGGCTAGGCTCTAAAGTATACATAAGAACACGAGACATTAACACAAAATATTGGCTGACAAATCCCAAGGGAAAAGAATTCATTTATATATGTTTTTAAGATAAATAAATGGGGGATGAGAAGAGTTGGATGTACATCATGCATGGAGATATATATACAAAATTTGGGGTTATAAAATCTCACAGAAAGAGACCAGCTGGAGCATCTAAGAATACATCTACTTAACATATCTGTCTGTTGCATAGAAAACTGAAGTTGCCGTTACAAGTGTTTTAGTTTATTAAGTCACATGTTACTCTTATTAACTTGAATAAATGTGCCAGATGCTGATTAAGGATCCAAACTTAATTTATGTTTCTTCCAGATTAAAGTGCCTGCATAGACAGTCCCAGGCACCAGACAGCTACAAACATGACATGTCAGTGTTAATTAGTGATTTAACTTAAGTGGGGAACATGTATTTTCTTAGTAGAAAGAAAAACATACATGTAAAAATAAATATATACAATTTCAGAAATTAAATGTTAGTGTGTTTTCTCCTAAAACTCATATTTAATATAACAGTAAAGGAATCTTTTATATTGAAGAAGGCAAAAGTCTCCCTTTTGAAAGGAATTACATATATATATTGAAAATAAATTAAATTTGTAGTCTCTGCTCCAATTTGATTTTACTGGACAAATGTGTTTAATTTAGGGCACCAACAATCCAGTTATATTGCATTTATCTGTGTAAGTTATTTCATTCACACCTGTTGCACATGTGATTTACATTTTCTATATAAATGATATGACTTACAACAGATAAATTACATAATTGCTCAACAATTTCTGTAGCTTGGTGGTTGTGGATGGTTCATTGGTCTTCCTGTAAAGCACATAAACCCCAGTTATACAATTGTCCTTTTGCAATAAGTAAAAATGCACAGGATGGTGTATATTACAATATGCAGGGTGGCAAAAGGTATATTAAAAAACACTATCGGAATTAGGGAGAATTAAAGGAATATGCTCTAATCCTATACAGTAGAACCTCGCCCTTGTTTAACCTTTCTTTTTTCTTTCTTCTTAAAACAGTTGAATGTGTAAATTAAAATGGTTCTCACCAGTGGTGATGTTGAGCTGGCTTGGCAGAACCAATATACAAATATTCAAAACAGGTTAACAAAATTCCTTTAAAGCATTCCTTCCCCAGTCAGATGCTACATATTGTTTTCCACATAGTGAAATTATAAGACTCTCTCTCATTTTGAAATGCAAACAATTGAAAAACTCACAAATGAACATTCAAATTGGTAGTAAAATCTCTGGCAAAGAATGTCCCACTCTCTGCCCATTCTAGCACAGTGAAATGTAGTTAAATCTTGTTTAAAATCTAAATATTTGGAAATAACTAGACTGGTATCACCATACGATTGTTTCCTAAAAGGAATTCACAAATGGTTAAAATTACACTAAAACTGAACGTGCACTCTCTACATACAAACTTTCACTATATAGAGGGCTCATAATTTTATAAAATACATCAGTGGCTAAAGATAAATTATTCTTATTAAAGTTGGGAGTAACTTAAACAATACTTTCCCAGTGGGACACAGTAAATGGGATTGTATAGGAGAATGAAAATTTTGATCTATTTTATAGATAATTTAAACACACTGTTATCTGCACATGTTACACAATATAAAATGAGAGAGAGCATAGTCATTTTGAACTGGATTGAGAATAGATTGTTTTGATATATTTTAAGATCACATCTGGCATTAGCTTGGACAAAGTGATGGGTATTACCAAAAGACACTTTGGAATAATTGAAATTGTAATTTTTTGGAGGAATATACTATCTTCAGAACTCAGATTGGTGTCACTCACAAGACTACAAATTGTCACAATCCAGAAAATCACAATCTAGAAGCTCACCACTGTGAAAACATGAAAACTTTTTGGAATAACTGGACCATGTTAGGCGTGATTATATATTGTTGACAAATTCTAATCCTTTAGGCATTTGGGCAAAAGGATTTCAAGAATGATATATTTAATGATGTGACTTATTTGTGTGTTACTGTTGTAGCAATTATGAATGCCATATAAAAAATGAAACGAAACTGGTCAACTTAAATTGAACTCAGTGCCTCATCACTAAAAAAAAACTTTCTCTATGATTTGGTACAGTTTTCCTAAGAATCTTCTCCAAGATTCTCTGAGACAGTACCTTAAAACAGGAATTAACTACTGCCTCTCTAAAGTGCATGACCTATTTGGACCTAGTTGCAAATGTGAAACTGCAGAAAAAACACAGTGACATGTTGACATAAAACATTTTTGAGGGCCCTAAATATTTGTTGCATTAAGATTACTGTCTTCTGGGGTGTGAGGCAGTGTAATCTGATAGATCCTTACTACTGTTCTGAGGGAACGCATTGTCTCCATTTTCTACCCTGAAGATGGAGGCAGCACGATCATTCAGAACATTGGGAAACAGTAATCTTCAAAGTCACAATTGTGAAAACCTCAAAGCTCATATCTATTGTATTTTTGCAGGCAGACATCCCCAACATCAAAACAAGTAGTAATGAGTGGCAATCAGACAGCCGCCACCACCACAACCACCATAACAGAGACTAAGGGAAGATGAATTTTTGTTAACATGGGAATAAGTAAGAGATAGCAGTATCAATGTCTGCAGCAATAGAAAAAAAATGATGTTTCAGAATGTCTACCATTAAGTTTGAAATGTCAAGAACAGTCAGTTTTAAGTTCTCACATTTTGTACCAGACACTACTGTTTTTGAACACAATGTCCATAGAATACAAATGTGCTAACCAACAAAAGGTCCTCGATGGAAGTCCGGGAAACTGGCACAGAGGAGCTGTAATGAGCATTATGGTTTCATTTACCCCTATGACTGCTAACCTGTGCTTATGAATAATTACTATATGCAATATCTAGTTCACTTTTGGTGTTATGTAATCACTTACTGAAATTTAAGATAATGATAATTATTTTAAAAAATGTGTTATAAATAAAAGTCACAATTTTCTAGAGTATGTCTAATACAACCTACTGTCATCTGTAAGCTCTGAAAGATTTGAGGAGATTCCACCAGGCTGCAGTGAAATTTTCAAGTTCTGTTCATGTCAAAAACTTGCTCATGGTCCAATATTATTTTCAAAATAAGCATACAATTTATGTATTATTTCCTTGCTACTTAGACAGTTCCTAGTCTTGTAGGTTTTATCTCTGTAGTTGTTACTGAAGTGGTACAGTTTCTGAGGAGGGAAAAATTGAAAGATTAGTTACGGAAGCAAAGTAGAGAGCTGGGATAGCTCATTTGGCATAGCAACATGCTATGGGCTGAATGGCCGGGGTTCAATTCCAAGCAGAGGCAAGAAATTTTTCTGTACACCACAGCATCCAGACCAGCCATGAGGCCCACCCAACCTTGACCACTCATTTCCACCAGGTGCTGAGATAAAAAATAATGGAGTTATACCTCCGCTCCTACACACATTGTCATGGTGTGGCATTTCATTAATTACACACAGGGACAACTTTGCCTTTTCAGAAGTGAAGTACATCCCGTTCTACAATTTGTTCTTGAAAAGTAACACAGGTATGGTAAAGGTAAAATTCTCCCTGTGCTTAAGTGATTAAACACCACACCATGAAGATGTATGGGGGAGCAGAGGTATTGCTCCACCATTCTAGATCTTGAAACTAGATGGAGGTGAGTGTCCAGCTTCAAGCCCATCCACTTAACACCAGGTAAACAGCCCTTTGTACCTGTTGGATAGAAAGTTGGGTGGGCCCCATGGCCAGTCTGGATGCTGTGGAGTAGAGGAAAATCTCTTGTCCCTGTTGGGAATCGAACCCTGGTCATCAAAAGTGTAGTCCACCGCTGTACCCACTGAGCTATCCCAGCACCAAAGGAGATAAATTAGCTATCTTAAAATCTAAAAACAATTTTGAACTAGCTACTTTTGTTTCCGTAGAAATTCTTAATATGTTCCAGCATACTTCCCATAAAACTGAACTTTCTTTGTACTTAATGCTGTAAATCTCTTAAGAAAGTTATATGAGCTTCCAAGAGAATTTTATCATAGTACACTTTCACTTTTGGTCAAATCCCTGTCACAGAGACTTCTGCAATCAGTATAATCATTATTCTGCAAGACTGCAGTTTGCAGAAATGCCTTCCAACCGTAAATGTCTGGTACAATGAGGCAACAAACCATGCCTCTTGACATGATAATAATGACAGCAGGTTCTAATGATTCCTAAAGCAAAATATGTATTAGTATTCAAATTTACATAACTTAATTCACAGCTAATATGATAATGTGTAAGTTTTAATTAGGTAAGTAATCTTTCTTCCCTTAATGTTGCCTGCAGAAGCATTATATAATTTAGAATTAGATAAGTATTGGTTAATAAACTGATGTTAAAGAGCACTGATTCACCATTCTTGTTATTTTAATTCGATCTGTTTTAGTCTACCTACTGCCTCCTAGCTCATAACTAGCAATGGACTCCTGAAATTTAATGCTTAAATTCATCTCTGGCTAAACAGTTATGTTAAAAATAGTACTATGATGTGTTAAAATTGTCTGGACATTTTCTTACCATTGTTTGTGCAGAAATCTAATACTTTACACTACTGAAATATGTTCAAGGGCACAAGTTAGCATAGTAGTTTCAGGTACTATGTTACAAGCAAAATGGTTATGGTTTCAATTCCCAGTGAGGTCATTGGACTTTTCAATTGACTTTTCAATCCTTCCAGCCACACTATGGTCCTAGGGTTAACTCACCCTCTACCAGAAATGAGTACCAGGAATCTTCCTGGGGGTAAAGTGTGGCTGGCGAGTAAAGCTGACAACTTCATCGCCATCTATGAGTCTAGAAAATGTAGCAGCCTTGACGTCTCACAACCTTATGGGACTCCAAAGCCTGTTACAGGGATAGCTTTTCCTTCTACTGCAATATGTTTACTGGGTTGATCACAATCCGTCTTGATATATGAGCCCAAGGAAGTACGTGAGGACTACATGGCCTTCGGAATAGATGATAGCTTGTGTTTTAATACCTAATATTTGGATTAAATCCTTGTGCAAATGCCTTATTAAAATACATCAAGCTTAGCACAAGTTCCACCAAGAAAGTAAAATAACTGTGCCATGGATGTAACTCTGCTGTCAAATATACCGTCCTGTAACATCAAATATTTGTTTCAAGAAATCCCATGTAAAAAGAAATCAAAATGCTACCATCATCTATACAAAATGACTTCTAAGATAAAAACATAATAGTATTATACATTGCTAAGTCTGACATAGGATTTGAAAATTCTGTAATAGTTTAAATAAAGATAATAAAACCGAACCTCATGATGTCAGCTCAACCACAGTTTTGAATTGCTGTGGCCTTTCCTCGTCCCTAAAATAATTTAAATATCAGGATATTTTTGCAGTGTAGTGAAGTGTGACTATATGTCAAATAGAGGGCTGATGTGGTTTTTAGGTCCTGATGGCAGGAAATATTATTGTCTTCTAGGATGTGATGTCATGTAGTTTGAAAGATAGATACTATTGTTCACTGAAGGTGGAGGCAAAAGATGACATTAATACCTGTGATTATCAAACTAAATTTTGTTCAGGTTTAGATGTTCATGGTTTGAATACAAGAAATCGAAAGCAATTATATTTGCCAAACTAAAATCTTTCTGCTTTTCAAAAAGGTACTATGTTTACTGCTATTAAACTATTCAACAGATTGCCCATAACCATTCAAAGCCTTAAAGAGGATAGAATTAGTTTTAAAAATAGGCTGTTTTTATATCTTATGAATAATTCCTTTTATACAGTTTCTGAATATGTGAGGCATAACATGAACAATTAATTTTAATTATTCCAATAGCTGTGTGTTTGTTTAAATTTTTTGTATTTGTTTTTTTTTATATGAGGACCTTCATGTCCATTCGTTTTGGACTTGTGAAATGAAATGTATGTATGTATGTATGTATGTGTATAAAACAATACTGCATCACATCCCTCATGACCATAATCTTAAATGTTCAATGTCTACCAAACATAAATAACCTATGAACCTGCCAAACTGCTCAAGACTATTTAAAAAATGTAATCATTTCTTTTATACAGTGATGTACTAGTAAGATATTAATACATAATACTGACCATAACAAGGCAATTTTTCTGTCATCAAACAGCAGCATATGGTTCCAGCGTCTTTTCTTCACAAAGAAAAATAATAAATGAATAAATAAAAAATTGAAAATGCTTGGGGAATAATGGAGGTTTCACAGATGATATTCAATAATATCTCTGTATTTTAAGAGTTTTTTTCTGACAACAGGTGCAGATCAAACTTAAGTGTGTCTAGGGCAACACATAAGAGAAAGCATTAATTTGTTATGAACCCTGAATGGACCAACATGGAAGTGAATCAGGATTATGGACAGGAGGACTTCTTTCTCTACCATATTTCAAGCACAAATGTGGAAAGATACCACAACAGAATCAATCTGTCAGCAGTTTTCGGCATAAAATATATTACCTCTAAACAGATTGTCAGGGTCTCCACTGTAGGTGAAATCCTGCATCAAGTGCGTTGTTTTGAAATTGAAAAGCAACGCTTTGAAAGCGGGAAATTATCCACAGTGTACTTGGCTACATCAACGCAAACAGCAGTTAAGATAATCCTTTTGGAGCAGTGAGCCTCACTCAGTATACTGGAGTTAGGGCTCTGCTTGTGATCTGCTTATTGCTAGTGTCTTGTTTGGCTTTATCATGAACCCTGAAGATGGATATGATACATTACTACAAACCATCAGAGGACTTCTGCTGAACTACAGTTACAAATCAGAAGATAAGACTACTCAGTCAATGGTTTTATATTAATTTTAATTTTATACAATGGCACCTCCTCATCTTAAAATATGTTTCATCATGACACCCTCTTCTTAATTTTGTGTGTGTACAAAGAACAGCTTTTTCAGTTTTTCATTTTCAAAATCAATACCTTCACGGGTATTATTAATTAATTTTTATTATGATTTTATACCTGCATGAAATTAAACAACTTGTCTCTGACATTTTGAGAAATGTGATCAATTAAATTTACTACATAATTTTCCACAATATCTTGCACCCTCCTAACCAACTAACTGCATGTCCATCCCAAGGGGGATGCCTCCCACAATTTGAAAACCACTGCCATAGAGGCAATCAGTCAAAAACAGGTCATCTGGTTTGACAGGAGAGAATAACTTGTTAGATCTAATTAATCCCTAAGCTATGGGTGACAAAACTATGAACCTAAAAACAAAAGTTACATGCTTGCTAAGGTCTGGAGTCACAAAGTGAGATAAACCTCACAAATCAGTCATATACCTCACATTTGAGAGAGTTCAACACAAATTTCCAAGTTCCAGTCCCAAATGTGTTTAATACCCTAACATAAAAGTATTAAGATTTCATAAAAAACATTTAATTCCTTGATCATCTAAATGATTATCAACCTCTCAAGGACTTTTCTCCAAAGAATTAATTAGTTTTCAGCATCATGAATTATTTTATACATAAAAGGGAATACCAGACATAATACAGACCCCTTCAGCCATCCTGTCCCGCTAACCTATCTCTGAATTAATTTGTCTTCTTCTAGCATCTTTCCTCTTAGAGATGGAGTCGATGGAGCAGCTGTAAAATTGAAAGCCACTTGTATGAAGAGAAACATGCCAAGGTCTCAGGAAACAAAGAGATCTAATTCTGTGGTTTAAATAATTATTTACGGCCTAACATGTCACTAAACTAGAATATTACTTGGTTACTGAACCCAACCCAAACCATACAAATCTACCTGATATTATGACTGCCTAATGCATATTCAAGAACATTCCATAAAACTTAAGATGATAAACTTGCAATATTCAGCTACCTAACTTTATGGAGTTATGTCTTTGGGAAGTCACCAGTTCAGTTACTTAAGAATTTCCCCACATCTTATGAAACCCAAAGGCTCATTACCATGTTCACAAGACACTGTCCCTGGTTCCTATCCTCAGTCAGATAAATCCAATCTATACCATTCCCTCCTGTTTCTCTAAGATCCATTTAAATATTATCCTCCAACATGTCTTGGACTTCCTAGTGGTCTTTTCTTCTGGCTTTCCCACCAATACCCCACATATAAAATCATCTTCTATCCCATGTGAGACAAAAGCCCTGCCCATCTCACCCCTCTGGACTTGATGATACTAATTATACTTGGTGTAGAGTACAAGTTATGAAGATCTTAATTACACAGCTTTCTCAATCCTCTGTTTATTTCTTCCCTCTTCAGCTACAAACCTATTCATTATGCTGGCACTATTCAGCTAGGATCCTGATACTCTCTGAGGAATGGGAGAGGTTGGAAGAATTATACTAAAACTAAGCACATGATATGTAATAAAATTACTTGAGGTTTTTGCTTGCAAATAATTTTTATTTGTCATATTACAGAACTTACAGAAGTAATCTACACTAGATAATATTCAAAGAGGAAAGGCATGATGTAAACATTTTAAGACAGTAACATCATTTACTTGCAGACTTACTCCTCTGTTTATTTCTTCCCTCTTCAGCCACAAACCTATTCATTATGCTGGCACTATTCAGCTAGGATCCTGATACTCTCTGAGGAATGGGAGAGGTTGTAAGAATTATACTAAAACTAAGCACATGATATGTAATAAAATTACTTGAGGTTTTTGCTTGCAAATAATTTTTATTTGTCATATTACAGAACTTACAGAAGTAATCTACACTAGATAATATTCAAAGAGGAAAGGCATGATGTAAACATTTTAAGACAGTAACATCATTTACTTGCAGACTTACTCCTCTGTTTATTTCTTCCCTCTTCAGCCACAAACCTATTCATTATGCTGGCACTATTCAGCTAGGATCCTGATACTCTCTGAGGAATGGGAGAGGTTGTAAGAATTATACTAAAACTAAGCACATGATATGTAATAAAATTACTTGAGGTTTTTGCTTGCAAATAATTTTTATTTGTCATATTACAGAACTTACAGAAGTAATCTACACTAGATAATATTCAAAGAGGAAAGGCATGATGTAAACATTTTAAGACAGTAACATCATTTACTTGCAGACTTACTCCTCTGTTTATTTCTTCCCTCTTCAGCCACAAACCTATTCATTATGCTGGCACTATTCAGCTAGGATCCTGATACTCTCTGAGGAATGGGAGAGGTTGTAAGAATTATACTAAAACTAAGCACATGATATGTAATAAAATTACTTGAGGTTTTTGCTTGCAAATAATTTTTATTTGTCATATTACAGAACTTACAGAAGTAATCTACACTAGATAATATTCAAAGAGGAAAGGCATGATGTAAACATTTTAAGACAGTAACATCATTTACTTGCAGACTTACTCCTCTGTTTATTTCTTCCCTCTTCAGCCACAAACCTATTCATTATGCTGGCACTATTCAGCTAGGATCCTGATACTCTCTGAGGAATGGGAGAGGTTGGAAGAATTATACTAAAACTAAGCACATGATATGTAATAAAATTACTTGAGGTTTCTGCTTGTGAATAATTTTTATTTGTCATATTACAGAACTTATAGAAGTAGTCTACACTAGATGATACTATATACTAGATGATAGAGGACAGGCATGATGTAAACATTTTAAGAATATAACATCACTTACTTGCAGACATGTGGGAAGGGATGGAAATGGCTTTTCAGAGTTAGGTAGCTCGGTTAGTCGCTGGCTTCCCACCGCGGCAGCCTGGGTTCGATCCTGGGTCAGGTCAAGTGGGACTTGTGGTGGACAAAGTGGCACTGGGGCAGGTTTTCTCCGAGTATTTCAGTTTCCCCTGCCAATCTTCATTCCACCAACTGCTCCACAATCACCCTCACCTATCAGCTGGGGCTGGTACAATAGGCCAGAAGTGGCCGCAGTACATGGGACTAAGTCCCACCCCACTAATAATAATAATAGGTAGAAGCTCCATAGCACAACTTGGCAGACCCTCTGCGGGGAATGTCATATAGACTCATATTGAAAGAAAATTATTACAATGTAAGCTCAAGGATTTGTTCCTACATTTACCCTTGCTGGAATTATGTTTATGATATTTTCAGGCATTGGAAACAGATCGTTACAATGAAGTGCTCAGGAACTAAGTAGGAAGTGTCTAACCATATCTGCCAGCATTTCCAGCCCTACATATGGACACAGTAACTACCACAATGTGAACATATTTAAAAGTTACTTGTTCAAAAACGTTCCCACCTCGCGACACAAGGTACGTGGGTTCAAACCCAGCGGAGGTCGTGGAATTTTTAAGGGCGGAAAAATTCAGGGAACAAGTCCTCCGGGAGGGACTTCAAGCCATGGGTCCCGTGTCGTAACTTTACGGCACGTAAAAGAACCTCATGTCCCAAGGGGACCTCTGAGCCAAATTCAGGACATTTCCTGCCCACCAGTAGTCTCTAACGTCTCTGGTAGATGGGGGAAGCATCAAGATACTGCTGAGCCAGTAGAGGCCGAACTCACTGGCTGAGTCGGGACTGATGGCACGCACCAATACCGGTAGGGTATAGAGACTGGTAGAATATCACAGGGGGACGCACAATGGACCAATATCTGGTCTAAGTGCATGGGGAAACCCACCCTCTCCAATAACAACAACAATAACAACAACAACAACAACTTGTTCAAAAGAGTTAGTTCCGAGGCATGGCTCCTTTACAGTTCTGACAGTCTCATAACAGTCACAGTAACAATTTCTGTTCAAAGCCTGCATGAGAATCACATGATTCTTTCTAACTTACAATAAATAAATTAAAAATTAATACCTAAAATGGACTAGTATTGAAATTAATCTCTTGGAACAAAAACATTTATCTTCTTTACAATCTTAAAGAGAAAATCATATATGACATTCTCACAGGACTGATTATCAAGTGTTCTATCTTCTGGGGTATAACATTGCGCAAAAGTTGTCCCTGTGTTTAATTAAACACTAAGCCATGAGGAAATATGGGGTAATGGATGTAAAATGGCTGGGGAGTGAAGCTCCAACTAGTGAATACATGAATCAATATACTTGTAATGCTGTACAGTCTGCTGAAAGTCAACTAATATTTCAGAGGAATGTCACCTCCAAGATGTTTGTTGACTTTCAACAGATTTCATGGCATTGTAACCCAAGAGAACTGAACTCTTCACAGATAGTTTCTTTTACTGGCAGGGGGGAGAGGGGAGGAAGGGTTTACTTTTCAACCACAGAACATACATTACATAACCTAATTTGTATCTTTTTTACTTGAAAGCAGTGAAAATCTGCCAGCAATTCAGTCAAGTCTGATTTAATCTCTCAGACGCTGTTAATTACAGTGTAATAAATGAACACCTACAGCATGCAGCCAGGAGCAAGGCCAGCCCCCAGATGTCATGTAAATGAAATGTACCTCAGAAAAAGACAATGTGAGATATTTTGGATCTGTTGTTCTCTTGGCAGTGACTATGAAAAGTAAGGTGGGTTGTTAAAATCTGTTTTCTTGTGAATTTAGAAGGAAGTGTCAGTAAAAACGTGTTAAATATTTTGGATTCATGCCAATAAAGAGCTTTTCATCCAGTCTGTGCATCACCTACTGAGAGGCCCAATGTACCGTGTCAGCGGCCACAGAAACTTGATTTCCACATACTTTTCATAATGATGGGGGGGTGGGGGGTGGAAACGGTAAGAAACGGGAACAAATCAGACTCTGCGTCTGTTTAAAACAGGTTGTGGTACAGTGAAGAGATAGTTTTACAGGTAATGAAAAAATCATTCCTGTAGTATAGGGGTCTTCCCTGCACATATTCAAGCATTATATTGCTTAAATGTAATAATTCATTCAAGAGTCACTGATTCATCAGTTGGTTTAAACACTTCTTTTTCACATTAACATGTGGTCTACTGCAGTGGTGTCACCGGTTTTCCTGTTCCAGTCGCAGCAACAACCTCTCTACCTGAGTTGTGACTCGAATCACAAGCAAATAACTCAACAGAACACAAATAAGTACCACAAACAAACCCAGGCCCTCGAAGATTAATTTTGGAGCAAAGATCTTCCACACCATGAGATGTCGGCAGTGAATAGTTGCAGCAAGCATGCATGTAAACATCTAAAACATAACAGAAAACCAAAATTATTATAGAAATACAAAAATTGTGGCAGTGACTTGTCACAGTTAGTGTGCATGTTGGCCATGTAAATGACAGCTAGAGCACAGTATCTGATGAGATATACTGTGTCGTGTGATAATACATGTTGCCGGTATGCCATTGCAATTGCTACTGCACTGCTGGTATCTGATCCAGGTGTGTGTAAGAAAAGTTGTCCCTATTAAGCACCACACCACCTGATGGAGGTGCGAGTCAAGATAGCTGTCAGAATAGTGGCTAGGCTACGGGCTGGATGACAGAAGGATCAGGGTTACATTCCTGAGAGAGGCAAGAGATTTTTCCCTTCTCCAGTGTTCAGATCAGTTCTGGGGACCACCCAATGTCCTATCCAGTGGACCACAGGGGCCCCTTTCCCTGAGGGTAGAGCAACCAGAGTGTGAAGGTGCCTGATCACTCATCTCAACCCAGTACTGAGGTTATGAGTGCATGGAGCTGCATCTTCGTGGCATGACAACTTTATCTTTACTAGATGGGGGTGAATGATCAGCTTCATCCCCTTGCTGTTTTATCCCAGGGGAAAAAGCCTTTGGTACCCATTATGTAACATACACTAGGTTGGCCCCAGAGCTGGTCTGGACACAGAAGGAAAAACATTTTTGCCTTTGCCACAGATATAAACACAGTAAAGCAACCTACAGACTAGTCAGTATATTGACTGAGCTACCCTGGCTGTTGCCCTGGGAATATGTACATAACAGGAATGCTAATTAAAGCCATATCTGATCGGGACTGGTCAACAACAGATACACCTACCTGTATGTTCTAAAGTTAATTAATGAAAATAATGAATATAATGAACACAAATAATTGTTATGGTGGTAATATACACAATTTATCATTACTAATCATTTTAATTGTCTGCAATAAATATTGGTAATAAGTGAATGAAGCAAGAAATGGAGGACGGTGAAAAATTGGCTCTGCAACGCTTCCAATCATCAGATAGAAGAGGGTGAGTTAAATACATGATATTTTTTATATTCAAATTAGAACAGCAAATTCCTTGCTGACCATGGATTTCGAGTTTCCATACTTTTCCATTTCAGTCCCATCTTGCCAACTGCAGCATTTGATTTTATGTAATTGTGGTTTTAAATCTTTCTACTTATGGAAAAACCTGGTGGCAGAGGAATGACTGTCATTATTGTCGTCATCATCATCATCATCATCGTCGTCATCGTCAATGCTGTAGTAAACATTATGGCAGTAATCATCACATTCTGAACAGTCAATAATTAACTTCTTTAAGGTAAATAATAAACTCCATAATTTCATTGTTTCAATTGGCATATTATTTGAACACAGGTCTGTAAAAATGTTACTAAATCTGATTTGTTTAGCGAACACATGGGCAACTTAATGAGGTTCCGATGAATGTGACCCCCGACCATGGTACCCCACAGGGCATTTGTCTTGCCAACTGTACTAATCCTTGAAGTGTGTGATGAGCTGCTGCATTTTACAATTATGTCACCAGCATAAAAATGGATGAAAGAAACATATGTATGTAAAAAGTATGTAATACATGAACATGCAACAATGTTTTTCTTCACCCAACTCACCCTAATTCCAAAAAACAATATATATCTGGCACACAGGATGAATGCCCCTTCATACAACAAGTCATATTTCTTGTACAGAACAAGTTCCCCTTGTTTTATGTCCTTGCTCTTAACGCCATCCTTAGCAGCAGATGGCAGGATCTTAGGGAACATGACATGTAGGGTGAATGGTGCCACAAGTAACACAGGTAGCATCAAACTCATCACGACGTGCGAGGCAAATGTGTTGATGCAGATCAGGAGAGCAGGCACAATGTGATTTGAAAACTGACCACCAGTCCCCACAAATGCAGCCTCCCACTGGATACCAGGGAATGTCGCAGTATGACCAGTGCCATAAAAGAAACACATGGCCAGAAATCCCCAGCAAACAACCGATGACCAGGGCACACTGAATAGCTGATCTGTAACAAAAAGTACAGAATCCCTACAAGAATATGGTACACTTCAGGCTTCTAAAACACGACACCAAGCAACTTGGCTCAAGTGGTAAAAGTTCTTTCTTACATTCAAGAAGTGAAATTTTTGGACATCCTGCAGGACATCAGCTATATTTGATGAGTCCTGCCCACCGCCCCCCACCCCCACACACCGAAGTATCTCCAGGCAAATACTGGGATTGTATCACACTTTAAGTGCTAACTGCTTCCTTCTCAATCCTTTCTCATTCATTATTCACTGATCATCAAACAATATTAGGCCACATAGTCTTACCTGCCAATGTAATTAAATAAACAACAAATAAATAAATCAGAATACTATACACATAAGTGAGTCAATGTGCAGTTCAAATTTTGGCCATGTTATTAATTACGCTGAATAAGGTTTATCACACTTTTCCTCAGTCTCTCCAGAGAATGTCGGCTATGGATAGACACCAGAATTTCTCTGGACACATATCATTTCCTCTAAAATAACTAAATCCACTACTAAACCATGGCAAGATGATTAGTCAACAATGAACTGTAAGGATGAGGAACAAAGTTGTCATTGCATAAACTGAGGCACTACCTCACCATTTATCCAGAATGACTGATAAGAGCCCTGCAAATAAGGAGTATTAACCATTACACCACAATGTTTGGTAAATCATGCAAAATATTCTGAATGCAGAGTACATTTAACAAAATACAAAGTAAATTAATCTGTCTCTCTTTGAAGTACAATACATTCTTAGCTTTCTCAACAGCAGAATTTCTGATTCTGTAGAGCGTGGTATCCATAATGTTGACTAGGTCTGTAAAATCAAAATTATATCTGCCATAACATAGTAATTAAATATGAAATAAATTATACTAAGATAAACAAGATATGCAAAATTACAAAGCTTGTTTCAAGGAAAAGATGCACATTTAAAAACAGAGCACATGTTTTCATATATTCTGTTTCAATGAAGGAAAGGTCTGCTACATGTCCCTATTTATATCCATAAATTATTCTGTACATCAATATTTAAGCTCACATGTGCCCTCACCTGAATGCAATGCCTTCTCGTATTGTACTGCTGAAAGGATCGTCAAGAGCACTGTGGCAGTAGTACACATAAGTACCACAGATGGAGCCAGGGCATCTCCCAGGAGCAGAGCAACCAACAAACATACAAACACAGCAATGTTTACAAAGACAGAACTGTATGCTGTTGCTAAACCATACACAACAGGGAGTTCCTTCCTTACATTAACATCACCTGCAATGACACCTGATTTGCTTTGTCCTCTCATTAGCTCTTTCACCTGAGTGAAGAGGTGAGGGATAACATTTGTTTGTCCATACACTGGGACTGTTATACTCTCCTTCTTCTTGGGCACCACAAAGATGCTTAACGGTTGAACAAATGTAGTCACAAAGGCAACAAATACAACAGTATAAATAATCCAGGGCAAGAATTGAATCTGCCACGGTAAGAACAGCTTAGATTTTGTGTCCTTCGGTAAACTCTGTAACACCCAGAATCCACCTGTACAGACAACAACAATGGTAGGGCCATAACGAGCTAAAGTCACAGAGAGCGAGAAGCCGACAAGGTTGCCACAGCTTCGCAACCATATACGGGCTACAGTGATAAAAAGTGCGAGGGAAATAAGTGTGAAGAAGCAATGTGTATTACAATATCTCACAGTCAAAAAATTAGCAAATGAATGTCCTTTGCGCAATGCGAGGGCTTCACAACCTATCTGTTCTTCTCGGCACAGCCAGTAATACTGCGACAACCTGATAAGCACACTCAACATGGCAACAAACATATATAACTTGAACTTGAGTGTTGTCAGTATAGATTTATTATACCATGACACTGCTTGTTTCTCAAAAGACTTGACTCTTCCCACAGGCTCTGGCTTTAAGGGTTTGAAATGATGAACAAAGTACCATGCCATTGTGAGGAGGAGGTATGACAGGACTCGGGCTTCCTCCACAATATAGCTATTAGAAAACAGGCCACACAAACTGAGCAGAAGTAAAAGCCTCCCAACGATATCTGACAAATCACTTAACTTGATCTGACTTTGCCAATGACTTGAGATAGCTATCCAACTGCGAATGATGACAACTGCCATCATAATCATGGACAATACTCCAGTTGAAATGTACACTGATATTTCTATGTTATCAACAAGATTTATTACATAACAAATCAATGTCCCTAAGGCAGTGACCATCAGGCCACCAAATACAATGTATAAAAATATCCCACTAAATATTTCCCTAAACTTATCACCAGGGATGCCATCAATTAACAAGAAAATGAAGAAGACTGATACAAACATTAGCAGTAAACCATTACACATTAAAGCAGCATCAAACTGCACCCACACTTCCTCACATATTTCTCTCACTAATGATAAATAACCTTTCATATGCCAAGAAAAATCTACAAAATCCTCTAAACTGACCAAAGATTTTATATTTTCTTTAAGCATCGTGTACTTCATCTGTAGTAGGCTTAGCTTCTCCTGTGAAAACTGGTTTGTATTTTTGGTGTACTGCTTCATATATTCTGTAGTTTGCTGAACATTATGCCATAACATTTTCAAAGCAAATTTCCAGTCAGAAAGAATATCATTTCCTTCACTCAGAGAAGGCAATGCTTCAAGTATTACAGTACCCAGATTTGCAAATGGAATGGGTAACCCCAAAATGGTTGCAAGCGTGGGAACCAGATCCACTTGATTCACTGTGTCAGAATTTTGGAGCATTTCTGTTGAGAGAAGGGGCTTTGGAGAGAACACAAACATGGCTGCTGTAATTTCAGCATCACTGTCCCCACCATGATCTCCTGTAACAAAAAAACAAAAAAAAATGGAAATTATAATTTACAGGTATCATAGTATAAACCACAAGTTATGTTAAATGAAAACCTGTACATGTGTAGTTCAAATTAATACTTCTAGGGTGAGACAAGATGCCATCCACTTGTTTTATGTACATAATTAATTTGCCTAATGTAGCAATTTCAACATTTTTATAAGGTTAATGACAAAGAAATAGGATAGACACAAATGTACAGAGAATACAATAAAATAGAATGTACCTGTGTTTGTCATTCCATGATCACCAATCACAAACAACATAGTATTATCATCAATTGTATCCACCACTGATCTGCAATCACAAGAAAATATAATAAGAATTACTACAGTTGTTCAGAAAGGATGTGTATGTCTGTGGGAAATATCCCCATACCTGATCATATCATTCATCTCATTCAACTTCCTGGCCATCTCAGAGTGATATGGACCATACCTATGTCCACAATGGTCTACACCTAAGAAATGTGCTACCAAAAGACTCCAATCTTTCTTCACTATTTCCAACAGAAGGTGGTTCATTATCCCACTGTCTACAGTATCTAAATCCCATACGTTGAATGATGGGTATGAATATTCTCTGATAAACCTCTTCGGATACAATCCAGACCATGTGTCATCTCCCATGAACACGATATTCTTATTTTGGGTTTTTATCTGATCAAGTAGATTGTCTTCATTTATTTCTGGTGTAGCAAAATTTGACCCGACATCTATAAACGTGGGTAAACTTCCTGTTGTGAGGCCCTTCAGCCTCTGCATTGTGGTAGTAGGTGGATCAGCAATAAATTTAAACAGTCTAGTATGATTTGGTTCTTTTGTTAGCAAATCGTTGATCACTGTTAATTTATTTTGATGTGGAAGGAGTTCCTGATCTTTAAGTTTTCCATCAAAATAGACAAAATCAAACTTCAGTGCATCAATAACAATCAACACAACTTTCATCCTACTTAACCCACATGCCAAGTGTTCCTCACTCGAGTCATTTTGCTCTGTCCACAGCTCTTCTTGTGAGCACTGCCGTTGCTCTCTAATGAAATTTTCATCGTGATTACGTTGTAACGAACTGTGAAAATTATCATTACTATGACTTGTATTATCACATATCATATTGGATGGTTTACATTTAGCTATGTGAGGCAGAACTTCTCGATTAAGCAGAAATCCGCGAGTAAATAACAACACTCCCGATAACAGCAAGTATGAGAACCATAATAATAATAAAAAGTAGTTCCAACGTCTTTCCATGTTGCTTCTAAAACCACCATTTGTAACATTTAGATATCACTCAAACACAAGCCCTTCTCCATGCTTATTTGGGGGCGGGGCATTTTATTCATTCGGTTCATACCATAACTGTGACGACCGTGATCCCCATGATCCCCATTGATCAGGACATGTAACATTGCAGAAGCACGTGTTAAACAAACTGAAGATAATTCGCTCTACTTATATAAAACAATCATGCACCAGTCATTAATTTAATACATAATTTCGTCATGTAGTGCGTCATAAGTTCTAAGGTCAAATCACGAATGACAGTGAACTCGTATACCTGAGTGAAAATACTGGATCTTATTACGTATAGCTTTCATATGTTGGCTACGAGTTAACTACGAGAAGTTTGTGGAAATGGCGGCAGTAGGAAGGTATTGGTTGATGCTTGTACGGAACAATATCACGAATTTTAAGGATATAAGATGCATAACAACTTGCAGTTTCTCCAATAAGTGTCTGAGGCACATATATAGGTCACATTCAGATGTTAGGAATTATTCTAGCGACAAAGAGCAATGGCATTGTAACGTAGGCACAATTGGGCATGTCGATCATGGGAAAACAACCTTAACCGCAGCTATCACGAAAGTATTGTCAAAAGATGGAGCAACGAGATTTATTTCTTATGACGAAATTGACAAAGCACCAGAGGAACGATCTAGAGGCATTACAATTAATGCAGCACATATCGAATATATTACAAAAAACAGGCATTATGCACATACAGATTGCCCAGGGCATGCTGATTACATAAAGAACATGATATCCGGGGCATCACAAATGGACGGTGCCATCCTGGTTGTAGCTGCCAATGATGGTCAGATGCCTCAAACACGAGAACATCTACTCTTAGCAAAACAAGTCGGAGTCGAAAGAGTCGTTGTTTTTGTAAATAAAGCCGATTTGGCTGAAAATGATGTGCTTGAACTTGTTGAGCTCGAAATGCGGGAACTGCTGGAAGATTTTGGTTTCGATGGACTTAATTCGCCCATGATACGTGGTTCTGCTCTGTTGGCACTCAATGGTGACACGTCAGAACTTGGAGAAAAGTCAATCTGGCGTTTGCTAGATGCTATCGATAGCTACTTCCCAATACCTACAAGGGACTACACATCACCTTTTGTGCTTCCTATAGACAATGCTTTCACAGTTCCAGGAAGGGGTACAGTGGTTATTGGTACACTTGGGAAGGGTGTAATGAAGAGGAATGCAGAAGCAGAACTGCTTGGGTTTGATGAAGAAATTAAAACCACTATTTCTGATGTTCAGGTATTCAAGAAATCTGTTCCTGAAGCAAGGGCTGGTGACAATTTGGGGGCATTGCTTAGAGGTGTGCGAATACAGAGTGTACAGAGAGGAATGCTTTTATGTGCAGCTGGAAGTTATGTCATTGGTAACCATTTTGAAGCTAAAGTGTACTTTCTGACAAGAGCTGAGGGTGGAAGAAGTAAACCAGTTACATCTAAGTACATACAGCAGCTCTTCAGTAGAACTTGGAATGTGCCATGTCGTGTTGATGTGATTGGTGGTGAAATGTTAATGCCTGGTGAACATGGTTCCGTATATCTGACTTTACTCAGAAAAATGGTGATGACTGAAGGACAGACATTCACAATACGTGAAAATCATAAAACTGTGGGTACAGGAATAATTATAAAAATGTTGAACAGTGTTAATATTGTGAAATCAAACCTAAGCAAACTTGATATTAAACACAGACAATAACAGTCCAGAATTGCAAATGTGTTGAGAAGACAGATGTAGGAACAAAATATAATGGATTTTTCTTGTATTTTGAAAAATTTACCAAAACTTGACCAAATTAAATTGCTCCATTTTTGCACATACTTATATCAGAGAGCTGTAAGTAGCAGATGTTGATATGCAGATTGTTATAAGGTGGCGTGGATAAATGTGCATCATCCACTACAGCTTTTTTTTTCCTATGTACAGCAAACTCCTGATCATTCAGTATCCAAGCAACCATAATTCTCATCCAAATGGCAAAAGCTTTAAAAAAATTACCATTCTTATAAAGTTGTTCAAAACAAATTTGTGATTGTAGATTCTAAGGGGTTCTGACAATTGTGTATAACACTCAAATTACTGGGTGTCACCTAAGCGACATTTTGAACACTATATTCTATACGCAAAGGGGCACACAGTAGCATAGTCGGTTGAGGCACTACGCTACAAGCCAAAGGTTGCAGGTTTGATTCCTGATGATGTCACTGGATTTTTCAATTGACCTAAACCTTCCATCCATGCTATGACCCTGGGGTTGACTGAGCCTCTTAACAGAAATGAGTACCAGGAATCTTCCTGGGGGTAAAGGGCAGCTGGTGCATAAGGCTGACAATCACAACCCTATGGGCCTCCATGGCCTGTTACAGGGATAGCTTTACCTTTTTTTTTTTTAAATTCTAGATGAAATGCATATCAAAATATAACTGACTCTGGAATTTTTCTTAATAAATATACTGCATGTAAATAAGAAATTAATGTAATGAATTTTGCAGTTTACACCAGTTTTGTCTGGATATAGTAAGACATTTACTCCATTTTCAGTCTGTGATATACCTTCTGTAGTGCAGATTAAAGAGCTTACGGTGGTAGTTTTCACTTGATGGCAGCCCTTGGATTAGCACATTCTATGCTGGAAAGTGCACACCACAAGAAATGTTGCATGTCTAAGATCATATTTTGCTTTGTCCAGTTTCTATTCATCAGTGCCCACATTGTAAAACAGGCAGATATCTACTTCTCCTTCTGTTGTACTATTATGTTCACTACACGAGTGTATGTATACAAGTAAACATTATTCAAAGAAATATGCCATAGGAAATTACTCCTTTCCGCTAACAGAAAACTGGATCAAAGCCAACAGCAATTAAATTAGGGAAAGCAGATACTAAGCTGAAGAGAGGTGTGACATTGAGGATTGTAAAAGAATAAATGTTTCAGTTTAATAAATTATATTTTATTTAGAAATGCATCTGCATTATAATGAGGCTTCAAAATATTTAGGCATATCTGCTGGTGCAGTGTTTCAACCCTGAGACCATATCTCAGCATGACAGTACCACAAAACTGAAGAGAAAGATCCTGTTAATGATGCCACAGGATCAGTTTTTACACAGCCTTGTTTACATGTTGAAACAAAGATCTCCGTTTCACGCCTTGTCTATTGCAGGATCTTGACTGTTCCATCATGAGTTCAAATGCATTTGTCGCTTTCCTTTCTTCTACTCGCATTTTCTTTGTGGGAGAATCCACATCAATAACCACGTAAGATTTTCCTGTAGGAGTGGCATGTGTAACCTGCTCCTTCAGTATGCTGTCCAAGTTACTACCTATAAGGGAAGAAAACAAGGTTATAAAACCTGCAATGAGAACAGATGAAATTCTACATCAAATATTGATAGCACAATAAAAATAAACAATGCAATCAGTCAAAATATACATAAAAATGATACATCCACTCCCCCATACGCCTTCATGGCGTAGTGCTTAATTAGTTAAGCACAGGGACAACTTTACCTTTTACTATGACTTGAATGATCTGAAATTCTGCAAGACATTTTCTTCAAAAACTTATACCTCAGTAAAATATTTTTAAGAAAAAACAGTGGTGTGAATAACATACTGAAATTTCAAAATAATCCAATATTATGACTCTCACAGCCAGTCTGTATGGAACTGAATGTTAACAATTGGTTTGAGCATTAATGGGTTACTGAGGTCTTCACACGCTTCAGTCTGTTCAAAATTTTGGACATAGTATATTGACATACCTGCTGGTGAAGATACAGCCAACATTTTCTGGTTTTCTTTACCTTCATTCAATGGGTCATTTAAACTTTCAGAACATTCAGCCATCTCTGTGTCATTAAGTTTGTCCTAAAAAGAAACAATACATTTACAATTAAATGAAAACAGGATAAAACCATCTTCAAGTACATGCAAATTTACACACCTATCAAATCAACATTACCTTCTGAGCTTTAACCATGTATTTTGTTATATCAGACTTGTACTTAATCTGTGTCTTTTGGTGTGCTGACTTTACAGGTCCTTTTGTTGATTCTATCAGCCTGGCAGCTGTTACTGACTGTTGAATAGAACTGAGCTTACGCCTTGGTGCAGATGTAGTAGCTTTACTGGCTGCAGGTCTCAGATCTTTGGGTTTCACACAACAGTTCTTCTCTTCACTGGTTCTATTTGTGGCCGCCGCTGTTTTCTGACACACAACTGTATCATTACAATAGTTTTGTATCTCAGTGTCAGCTTTATGCACTGATGTCACTTGCTTTGCACACTGTGTTGCCTTTACACCAATAAATGTCACTGGGTAATACTGTGGTGGCTCCTCTGCTTTTTTAAGGGAGGATTCCCCCATTGCTAAAGCACATGAGAAGAAGGACCTCTGATATGTTTCAGGAAGTCTCTGTAAGGACTGCCTTAATAAAAATAGTACACTCTTCAGCTGGGAACATGTCAGATCTGAAACAAGAGTGAAATAATGTTGACATGCAATGAGAAAAATAGTTAGATGTATATGTACCTTTTGCCAATCACATTGGCCACATAGTCTAAGTCATGAAATATCTTCGCCAGCCCAAACACTGGGATCTTTGGTTCGAATCCCACTAAAGGCATGGATGTCTGTCTGCTTTTATGCTGTTTGTGTTGTCCTGTGTGGGTACAGCCTTCCATCCGGCTGATCGCCCATCCATGGAGTCCTGCCAACCGTCTGATTAAGAAACTGATGTGAAATGCAGCATTTCGTTAGGAATAGATAGATATGTAACTTTTAACATGCAGCATTTAGGACTGTCCTTCTTGGTATGAAAAGTTAACAAATCTTGGAAGACTGTGCCATAGCTCAGGGGGCTAAGTGTGGTGGCCCAGGTTTTATCACATGCTACTTCATGTGGGATTTATGATGGAAATAAGAAGCAGCGGGGAAAGATTTTCCAAGTCGTTTGGTTCTTCCCTGCCAATTATCATTCCACCAAATGTATCACTTCTCTTGTCTATCATCTGGGACTGGTACAATGGGTCATTCATGGCCTATATACCCGGGACTCAGTCTCAACCCGCCTCAAGACGGGGGGGGGGGGATGACATGGGCTAGGGTCTTTTATGGAACCCAGTGGTTCATTACTGTATTTCAAAAAACCTACCACCTGAATATATCTGAAACCAGATTAACAGAGTCCACATCCAATTTCTCCAAGATCCATTTCAGTGGTATCCTCAAATCAAAAAGTAGGTTCCCCTAGTGATCTCTTTTGACCCTGATATTTTTCAATAATATTCTGTACGCATTTTTTCACTGGGAGGGGGGAGATAGCAGTATTGATCTGGCAGTTAGTTTGTTTATTTCAAGCTTCAAAAAATCAATGAACTTGAAAATAAATTAATTTTTTTTTCTATCAACGTATGTTCTCATTAATATTGGAGGTTCAAATTCTGACACTCCCTTTGCTTTCTTGCATGCACATCACGTGGAAATTTGGCAGATTATGCACTAAATATCTAATTCTCTCTTTCACTTATCCATCAGCATAAGACCTATCCTTTTACAACCTCATGAAAAGTACTCTTCACTCTACACATCTCTCACTGTATACAGTTGAACCTCCTCAGAAGAAAATTAAGTGGGGACTCCATCTTATTTAGAACACTCACAAATATGTGAAACCTCATTTAGAATTACTGAAGGAATCCCACTGCATCAGTATTGGATGGCATTCAGTAATACCTGCAAATTTCAAATTTCACTGCCTGGACGATGAGCAACCATCCAGGCAGACAGACACACAACCAATTCTTATACCATTACAAGAATACTATTAACACATTCACTCCCAACCATCCTATGACTGGCTCACCTCCCAGGCCAGCCGCTGTCAACTGTACGAGTATACCAGCAGATGGCAGTATTTCATGGGAAAGAAGTGAATAGCAAACAATCTGCGTAAGACAAAGAAATTACAGAATACAGCTACATGAATCATCTAGTGACAAAGGAGGAAACTACTTGTTCATAGTGTTTCCATTGTAACAAACTGCTGACCCTGTCAAATCAGAGTCTTAAGCGAAAAACACCTCTATGTTCGTTTGGTCCTGTAAACGCTCAAGCATGCTTATGAGAGCAAACATGTTATTACATAAATTTGTAGATAATTTGTAGATTCTGACCTCTGACAAATACACATTCACTGTACAGTTTGATTGTGGGGCTGTCATCATCAGGTCTTTAAACCTACTAGGGACACACTCAGTCCAGTAGACACTCACTTTTGACTTGTCTGACAGTAGCTTTGACACAGGTAACATAGCTCTGTGACTCAGGCAGGCAACACATCATCTTCTACCAAATAATGGTGACAGAAATGAAGTTGAAACATAAGTAAAATGGGATGGATTACAAACCTGAATGGTAAAGAGAGAAGGAAGGCCAAGGAAACACTAGAGAGTGAATATTAAAGCCATCACAGGCATTGAGTTGCGTAACTCATAGAAATTAATATAAAATTCTGTCTCCACCACCTCCTTCTGCTATTCCTTTCAAGTATTAGGTGTTCGACTTGTTGCAGTCTTATCGAATACTGAGGAAATGCAATATTCAGCCACTCTGGAAGCTGAGAGACGCCATCCCCGTATCTGGACTTCCCTTCTGCTGGCTAGTAAACAGTTGTGAGGAATGCTAAGTCTAGTAAGGACAAATGATCATAAATTATTTGTAATTGCATTATTTTGGATATAATGATACCAACTTACCATATGGTCCCAGTTTGTCAAAGAATCTCACCCACTTCCTGCTAAGGTGTATGAAAATTGCTTGGAGACCACGACGATCAGCTTTTTTACGGAATGTATGAAACAGTTCATTCTGGGCTGCACAAGTTATGTAATCTGTCAGACCACTTAACACCAATGCCTGCTCTACTATGCTGAAAATATCCTGATGTTTTTCCTGCTCAAAATCAAAACACAAAGCATTAAAAATTACAAAGAATCAAAAGCAAAACAATTTTACAACCATGCTGAAAATCTTAAGAATTTGCTCATGCAGTTTCCACACATACTGTATACAGTCAAGAAAAAATATTGTCACGTGTTGCCTATGTAATGAGACAAATAAATTCATGCAGGTCTTGGATATGGCGAATATGTTTATTGAACGCTCACTTTTATATTAGCGAGTACAACTATTATCACTCAGTATCATAATTACTGCTTTTACCATAGTCGAATGCAAACTGAACTGTTCTCGGTAACTTCTAGAACTCAACTGTCAACTCAATTCAACTCAACTGTCTGGTCCCTTTGAAGCTGGACTTTTATAACCTGGTCTCAGATGGAATATAGCAAACCATGTAGGAGCTTTTGGGCTTGGCCGCTGTCATGCAATGAAACCTCTGTTGTCCTTTTATCTCTGGGGAAACGCGTTTGTTGCTTAAGGTATTCCTAAGCAACAGCCTACTGTTATTGCATTTCCATGGAAGAATGCCTTCCGGATTTCCGGCATGCGACAATATATATAAATGGGACAGTAAACACAACAAATTATTGAGATTGAAATGAACTAGATACTACAATATCAACATTCATTTCTTGTTGCAGATGTTAGTGCTCCATGTTTCAACCCTTGTTTAGGTCATCTTCAGGCATATATGAAGCAATATGCAGTACGTCCTCCATGAACACATGCACTGGGCTGGTACTGCCACAGTTTCTTCACCGTGCCATTTATTCTAGTGTCAACAAATGTCACTGTTACAGTTACTTCTTGCACCGCTAATCTCAGTGAAGTTTTCTGTTCCCTTGGAGTTTCCTGAAGACTGGCTTCTTCTAAGGTCAGCTACAAACTGCAAGCTGAAGACTGAACTCTTGTTGAAGCTGGAGTCTTATATAACCTGCTTTTGGACGGAATAGAGCGCACCATCTATGAGCCTTTTGTCTCAGCCACTGTTATACAATGAACCTTTTGTTGTCCCTTCATCTCCAGGGAAACGCATTTGTTGCTTAAGGCAACGGCCCATTGGTATTGTGTTTCCATGGAAGTATACATTCCAGGTTCCTGGCGGAGCGCGACAATATTTTCAAATGATAAAATTGTCGTCAGGACTATAAATGGTGCAAAATCAGAAGTTTTCTTGGAAGATAGGATATATCATGCATTAACATGCATTGCTGGATGAAATTTCGAACATTGCTCTCATTTCAGATATTAAAAATGTCTCTCATGTTGTGAATTATGATCTGCCCAAGAGCATTGATGAGTATGTACATCGTATTGGAAGAACAGGACGTGTTGGCAATCGTGGTAAGGCCACAAGCTTTTATGATCCAGAAGTTGATGGGGCCTTGGCCAGAGATCTTTTGAAGATCCTTCAGCAGGTAAGGAAATTGAATATTGTGATATTATAGTTTTATTCATTTGCTGGTTATTTTTAGCATACTCAGTCTGCAGCCACCTGCTCATGCTGATTCCTTGCTCACGGATTTTTCTACCCTGAAAATGGAAGCGATATGTTCCTCTAAAACGCCGGTTTACACAAGATCTGCACAGCGCCACATCCCAGAAAATAGCATTCTTAATATGAAATTGCTGCAAATTATGTTTCTTCTTGCATCCATGGGTTAGACGACTTATTGCCTGTACTGGAGTGAGTGACCAGAGTGTGAAACTTGTCTCCATGTAGTGCCAAAGTGGAATGAATGTGGAGATTGACATCCATTTGCCCTACTTCATGATGTAATATATGTAGTAGGTTTCTTTCACTTTGCATACTGCATACTTCATGGAGTAAGGTACGAGATGGCATAGTTTCATCATTGGGTGAGCTGTAGTTCACAGTTCTTTATTATGCAGTCTTTATAATTTTGTGTCGAATATGTTATGAACAGGTATTATATATGTGTGGTTTATNCCTTTTATCTCTGGGGAAACGCGTTTGTTGCTTAAGGTATTCCTAAGCAACAGCCTACTGTTATTGCATTTCCATGGAAGAATGCCTTCCGGATTTCCGGCATGCGACAATATATATAAATGGGACAGTAAACACAACAAATTATTGAGATTGAAATGAACTAGATACTACAATATCAACATTCATTTCTTGTTGCAGATGTTAGTGCTCCATGTTTCAACCCTTGTTTAGGTCATCTTCAGGCATATATGAAGCAATATGCAGTACGTCCTCCATGAACACATGCACTGGGCTGGTACTGCCACAGTTTCTTCACCGTGCCATTTATTCTAGTGTCAACAAATGTCACTTCATTAAGTCAGGTGCCTAAAATTATTATTTTTCATCTGAGTTTGTTAAAAACACTGCCTTTCAGAATGGAGTCTATTTCCATCTCCTGATGAACAGGATATGAAAGATAACCTAGCCTGTTGGGCCCCAAGTTAGAGCTACTTTGAAACCAAGAAGAAGGTAAAAGAGTTGTAAGAAATTTTTCATGCCATCATCAAAATAACTTTATATTTACATTCCTCTTTATTTTAACCATATCATTCAAATATTGCAATGCAGAGCAGGACAATGATTTTAGACAATGGTCATGACAAAAACACGTTTCTTCCAACCAACAATGTGAAGAAGAAAATATCTAAATTTTACATAAAAAAGGTGAAGGAGTTAGTGGCAATACAAGATGGCTGCTCTGGAGCTTATTAAGAAACCTTATTACAAAATTTACCAAAATCTGCCAACAGTCTCCTTTCGTTAGCTCCCGGAGAGAGTTTAAAATTGGCATATCCATTCTAGCCACTGTTTCCAAAGCCAGCTGTTCGACTTCCTCACAGTTCTTGTCCAGCAGCATAATAAGATCACTTTCCGCACTTGAAAATGTTACATCTAGATCCATATTCTTGTCAGAACTGCACAACCAAAAAGAATATGTACAATTAACTTCAACTTGGACATACAATAAAAAAGTACAGAGTAATGGCAATGTATATTTGTGCTTAGAGAGGCAGGTTAACCCTCCCACTACACCAAATTTAGCAAAACAGAGCAGACTAATAGAGCTCGTGTCACGTACTATACAGCAATGTTTGAAGTGCACATAAACTAACTCATCTACCAGTCAAGATGATTCATAAACTTTAACAGCATTGTTAATGAAGCATAGAACTATAATACTTATAAGGAATTTCTTGTTTCTATCTTTGTAAAATTTAATGTATCACTATGTTCCATTTGTTTGTCAATGACATGCTTATTGTTCATATGTACACTGATTTGTTCAACATCCTAATAAAATAGGACACATGCAATCTATATCTCTATGGAATACAACTGATACCTCCTAATTTCTCCTCTCATAAGCATGTTACACAAGAAAAGTGAAAGATGTTTTGAGGACAGATTCAAGCCTTCCATTCACTGAGAGTCTCACTGATATTGGTCACATATGTAAAGACATTTCAAAACAACTTTATAAGATATAAATATGAAGCAGTCAACCAATGTTTTGGAAAAACATGCTGCCCCCAACTTCAGGGTCAAAGAATAGGTCAAGCAAGAAACCAGTGTGAAACACGTAGCAAGAAAAGCCTCTGAAATGTGGGCGTCTTTCAACGGACTACATGGCATTGTATCCCAGATGACAGAACTCTTCATAACCACTGCTGTGACAACCTCAAATCCTACAAAATTTTATCTGTTTCTAATATTTAATTATTGAGTAGTAAAATGACACACACACTAAGAAATTTACATGCTAGTAGAACCAGTGCTATAGATGGGTTAAATGTATTACAGACTCTGGATCACATATTTTCAGTCCCTTTTACTTGAGAAAAGTTGCGGTCCTTAACGCTGATGTCCGCATACACAAATAATTGCAAGAGGTGAATTTTTTATACTTTCAAAGAAACAAAAGTTATAAACGTTCAAGGCTCCCGATGCGGCCAAGATTGGATCTGACAACTACATCTTTCTGATTGTCATCAAAGTAATATAATTTTTCTTCACGAATATAAACAGCACCAAATTGTGTCGAAACCGCACTGGATCTATCTACCACTGAAAACATTCTGACGTGTCTAACATATATCGACATGGGATAAATTTATTGGAATTTGTTAACATAAAAACAATAAGAACTTTACAGTCTATAGTACTTCTGACACTAAAAATCCTTGTGTCCATGGTTTCGCTTTGTACTTTATATGTTCTCCAACAAACCTTAATTCTGCAGAAGCAGTGTGCCAGCCAGAAAGTTCTACCCGCTCCACAAAAATATATTACATTGACCCGTCTGATTTGCGTGCTGTAGAGATTTAAAAAAACACGGAATTACATTACGTTACACATCCAAACAACAAAAGCGTTTGCAAAAGAACTTAACTGAGTGCAGCAACACATGTCAATAAAATGAATTCATTCCGCCAATTTTGAGGGTCATGGAGTACCAACATGAGGACATACAAAGCATACAAACATACAAATTACTATATACTCAGCTTGGAGTACCAACAGTATAATTTAAACCCTACAAACGAATATCGTTTAACATCTCTAATATTAGCTCCACGTGATTTCTGTGAATGTTTTTTTTTTCGACTAAATTCGTTTACACCCCCTGGAAGAAGTCCCCCAGTCAGTAACTTTCATAGCACCCTAAAGCACATTTTTGAACCACTTGCCTAATTTTCACGAAACTCGGCATGAACGTTATGTCATTCAAGGCCATCCAACAGCCATCATTATCAATTCATAACCAATAATAAAAACACAATGGGCGAGAGAACTCGCGAGTTGGACACCTGTAGCAATGAACTTCGTGCAACACTCAACCGCAACAGCAACCACGCTAACACAGTGGAGATTTACCGGAACAGGCTACTCTGGAGATATGCAGACTTCAAGAAGCTTCACCAGCACTACAGAGACCAGGACCATAAACTACAGTGAAGCAACATACCAGACAATATTATCTCTAAGGCCGTGCCACAGCTTAAGCGGTTAGTCGCTGGCTTCCCACCGAGGCGGTCTGGTCCAGTGGGATTTGTGATGGACAAAGTGGCACTGGGGCAGGTTTTCTCCGAGTACTTCGGTTTCCCCTGCCAATCTTCATTCCATCAAACTCTCCATAACCATAACCACCCAGGATATATATCATTCGAATCATAATTTTATTATCTTTGTATACTATTATATCATTGTGTTATATATTGTATTATTATTATTATTATTATTACTATTATTATTATTACTTATTGTATTGTAAAGTATTTGACTTGTACTATATCATGTACAATGATCCATGGATATGATATGAAATAAATAAATAAACCTCCCCTCGCCCTTTCAAAACCGAATTTTGCAAACCTATGACGCCTATGACAACTGCGTGAGAGAGCAATGTTAGGGTAAGTTTGGTTTGTGCGGTTTGTGATGTACACAACTGCGCACGTTCCTCCTCATAGGTGGAGAACATTCTGAAATTGAGCAATGTTAAGTCATGTAAGATTTGAGGCTTTCAATGTTAAGTCAGGTTATAGTCGATCTGTGCGGTTTGCTTACTTCCGTCTTCATTGGGGCAGGTCGGATCGGGTCGGATTGAACAATGTTAGGTTCGTTAGGTTTGCGTAGCAACAATCTTTCACATCGTTTCACATTACGCAGACGGGTGTTTTCGTTTGGGTGTTGGTAGTCCGACGCGTCCGACGACTTCCACATTTTGTGGGGACAACAACAGTTGATCCGTGGCAATAGCGTTCACAGATAGTTGCTATTGGGTGATATTTTCACGCAATGTCCATGGTAAACACGGTGTATGGTGGGCGGGAACCGTGTCTCGCATAGCGTTATGGGTATACTTCCTTCACTTTTGAAACAGGAGTTTTGTTATATCTGACGTTTGGTGTGATTTGATGAGTGTGTGTTGATTGTCAGTATTAACCATTGTTCCCATGGAATAATATTCAGGTAAATGAATTAGTTTTATACTGTGGCATTTTATGCTTTTTAATTCAGTCGCACTAATGGTCAGTATTTGTACTTCTGCTGAGTGTTCTGAAATGAGATGCTTTATTTTCACCGCCTTTCAAGTTTTCTTCGGGATGTTCCATTAGGAAAGCCTGAGAAAATGCAGAGGGACTGAAATTGAATCAGAAAAACTAACTTCTGGCTTATGTCAGTAATGTTAATGTGTTGTCTGAAAATATATTCCATGAAACATGGAAGGTCTATTAGATTTTATGAAGGAGGTTGGTCATGAAATATATGCAGAGAAACTAAGTTTCATCACCAGAGTGCAAGTACAAGTTATAATGGAGGGGGAGCTAATAAATTCTATGAAAAGGAGACTGTTCCATAATTGGGAATAACAAATAACAGTGCTCTTTATTATTATTTTTTATTATTCATTGCATCTTGTTGTGTTATAAAATCGAGATATTCGAGCTATCAGTATTACAATGAAGTAAATTAATTCGAATAAAATTGATTAAAACAGTACAAGTATGAATGGTTTAATCAGTTTTGTTGTCTCATTCAGTCTCTATATGTTTTGGTGCCACTGACTCTCATCAGATGGCTTGTAAATGAATACATAAAATACATTATTATCGAACTGCAGAGTGAAATGAACCTTTTTTATAGTGAAAAATGTTATAATAAATTCTTATGAAGAAGGCCTAATGAACTATACTTTTCCTGTAAAAACGTTTAAGAAATATTTTTTATGAAAATAGTATAACTGTGAACCACATTTTTAGATCTGTGTACAAGTGTAAAGCTAATGTCCTTTAACTGTCATGCCTCTGAAGATGGCCTCAAGGGGCTGAAGCATATAAGGCTGTACATTTAATTTAATCTGTTCTGTTAAATTTGTTACACTGAATGGTTTATTATCCCCAAAATCCTGAAGATTTTTATTTCAGTAAATTAAAATTTTGAAATTGTTGTTTACAGACATGTTTTGCTTATGTTGTTAGACATCTTTTTTTTTTTATTTTACGTTTACAGCTATACCAATGTGCATTTGAAGTTATATAATTATACTTTTCTTATTAAAGCGATAAACAGTGTCATATGTTAAGGTCATGTGTGTCTGGGACCTAATATGCGTCCTATATATCATTTTTAGGTTTGATAAGGGAGACTTTCATTAAATGATCACTGATGGGAATAATTTTTATGTACTACATTATGGGCTATGCCCTTTTTGCTTTTGTCAAGATACATACTGGACTGAAGTAGTTTTATGTCAGTTTCTTGTCAAGAAGGCACAAGTGTGAATATTCAAATTCACATATTTTACTCTTTCACCTTCACATTTTTCAGGTATTGGTGTAGCTTGTAAACCAGATATTTTAACAGCTACATCTAAAGGAAGATGAAAATAGCAGGACATTCTCTAAGGATAAAGTAAAATTTATTTCTCAGTTTAATGACATGATGTAATTATGCAAAAAAAGAGAAACCCATTGCCCATCCTGTAGCGGCAAACAGTGTGTTAATATGATGTGTCAGAAAACGAAAGCTCTCTGAACCACATGCAAATACATAACATTTCTATCTGTTGAAAATTCTTGAAGTTTCTTGTGGAAGTTCCTGCAACCTAAATTCCTTTATATTTGTGTCATTTTTTGCCATAGTGAGGAGGGAAAAATTAATCTGCACCTACTAAACAAGTTCACTCTTGTGTTTATGTACCTTGCACCAGTTTGAAATCTTCAGTCACATTAAAATCAATTTCAGATTTTGCTTTGTACATTCTTTCAAGTTATGTTGTTTTGCTTGCAGATCAGAATGACAAGTGAATGGCATGATGGTGAATCACAAACTGTGGTAAGACAGCTTTTAACTTTTCATTATGATATAGTTTTATGGCAGTTAGGAAGACCAGTACTTTACTATATAATAGTGTAATTCAGCTAGCAGAACAAATTGCTTTCATGCTGGTTACAATTTATTTATTTATTTCATCTCTATAGATCATTGTTACATGATATAGGACAAGTCAGTTACTGTACATTGGCTGATTACAATAAGAGAATAAAGTTGCAATACTTAAAATGGTTTACAGTAGATTACAATAGATAGATTTCATATAGTGTGAGGTGGAATCAATATTAGGTCCCCTCGGCACGTCTGCTTACATGTGTCCTATTGTACCTGTACTGGTAATAAGACCAGTTTGTCTTTATTTAAATAAGATCTAACAATCTGTGACAATGGTACATTAATACAAATGTTTGTGGACAATGGATAAGGTCCAGAAATATAATATTTGTAGTCTTTATTTGTTTTATTGAAATTCACAGAAATGGATGTGAACCTGTCAAGGAGCCAGGTTGCTGTATTGCTCCTGGCCTCAAGTTTCATAATGAGGTTCTTCTGAGAGCATCAAGCATTTAACTCATTTTTGGGATCCACATATGAAGTTATTTTCTTTCGCTCCTCATCATGGTTATAGTTGTCATGTACAGTCCACTTGTAATTTCAGATTAAGTCTGCTGAAGGATTCCGTAGACAAGTTGGACGAGGTCTAGGAAAAACTGCTCGGAATGTCAGTGTCTCAGATGGCTATATGTATGTACCTGATGTTGGCAAAGATGATGACATTCCAGAGTTCTCAGGGATTAGCCAATGGAGCAGTGACATTTCAGGACGAGTAGGAGGTCACAGTAGAGGAGGGCGTGGTAGGCATGATGGTACTTCAGGTAATGAAGGAAGTGGCGCTGAGGTCACAGTAATTGTGGATGTTGCGATTAAATTATTTTCACTGTTGTCTTTGTCCATTTGTTTAAAAGATATTTGTTTGAGTATGTCTTGTTTTGGGTTTATCTGCACTACACTCCCTTTGCAGTGTGGGTGTTATGTGTGTTATTTGTGCAGTTTGTAAGGATGTTGATACAGTGGTGTCAGTTTTATTATATGTACACTATTGGCTGTAGGTTTTGTCATGCTGCTAGACTACTTATGTTAAGTGGTTTCTGTGTATAGCTATTATGATGCGATACATAATTTTGACATACAATGCAACAATTTTTAGCAAGATAGACAATACCTGAAGATGACCATATGCATCTGAAACCTGTAGTGAGGAAGAAGGATGACTCGATAATAAGTTGAATTTAAGACAGAAATATGTGTGTACAATAGCCATCATGAACTCACTGATCATACCAATTATAGAAGTGAATTTTCCAGCCAGTTCTCATTCCACCAAATGCTCCATACTCATATCATTTGGGGATGGAAAAATAGACGAATTAATGGCTGATATACCAAGTAGTACTCAGTCTCATCGCACCCCACAAAATAAGAAAGAAATTAAAGAAGTGGAGCCTGGCTGGTGGACACTGTGGCTGCAGAGAGTACACAACTAGTTTTGTTAGGCCATAGTTTCAGTAACTTTGTAGCAGCTCTCATGATTGCTTTTGATAACACCTGAGATGCTTATCAGGCAAATATTGAAGTTGAGCTTTGGGTTTTATATGGCTTTTTTTCTGTTAATGTGTTGTTTTGGTTTCCTGTCAACACAGCCAGTTGTTCTTATTTTATTTAGAAGATTCTCAATATTGTTTCTATAGGGAATTCAACCTCCAGGAAACTTCTCTGAAATTTGCTCTAGACTCTTTACAGTGGAAGCACACTTTATGTAAGATTCAAGTGAAAATGCCTGATACCAGAATGTAAACACAATGCATGTTTTACACAAAGGAATTCTAACGGAAGCCTTCCATGAATACCAAAAAGAGTTTGCACTCTCTTTTTGCCATTGCTGATTCATCAGAGTGCACAAGAAATGATCCATTGATTGTGCAAAATGGAAGAATGATCCTTTTTTCTCTCACCTCACTCTATATGTCCTGCAGCCCTATCTGACTTTGTGTTTTGCTTTTATGCCATCTTTGTGCAACGTTGGTTACGGTTCGTTTGTTTTTCTTTCTTCTAACCAGCCATCTTCAGGTGTACAGGTTGTTGTGGTTCAGGAATCTGATGTCCACTTCAGTGCTGTTTTTCTTTCTCTTATGTAGGGGCCTCAGATTATATCTGGATATGTGGATTAACCATCTGGTTTTTTATTTAGGTGTCCTTGAGTGGTCTAGAAAACCAAGATTAACGGCTGTGGGGATCCATTGCGCCGACCATGTGACCCCCTCTATCCGCTAAAGTTGGCATTAACTTTGCCAACAAGCGGTGGTCGCTTGGTCGGTATAGTTCGCTTGCAGACTACAGGCCATGGAGTTTTCTTTTTTTTGAGTGGCACGTGTTTGCCTTCTCTGAAATATATGATGTGTTATGTTAGAACTTTATTTTAAGGTACATATGTGTTACTGTATATATGATGTTACTTACAGTTTTGTTTTCTTTGTTGGCTGTGGCTGCCTTGAATGTCTTTACTGGGGCAGCATTTTGTTGTGTGGCAGTTGGCCATCATGGTCATTCTCTCTATAGTTGTATAGTAACTGATGTTGCACATAGATGGCATAAAAGCAAAATGCAAAGTCAGATCTATGCAGCGCAACAGGATGCTCCAATATAACATCATGAACTGCAGATTTCTGTTTCAGTGACTTTTTAAACATGTACAGAATGCTAACACAACCTTAATTTTCAAATAGTGCCTTCTTGGGTTTTCTTCTTTCTTGATTGTGGCTTCTCTTCTATCCTCTCTGCATAAGTTCCCATTCTTTACAAGTTCACTTTTCCCAAATATGTAAATTCTTGCATGGAGTCCCTACTTCATTTTCCCAGATCATTTGTTATTCTTTGTAGAAAATAGAGATGGTCCACCAAAACTCCGAGACCACTACATTCCTCCAGAACCAGCTGATGATGAAGAGACTATTTTTGGCAGTGGAATAAGTTCTGGTATCAATTTTGATAAATATAATAATATTAAAGTCAAGGTATGTAATAATATATTGTTTGTAGCATTTTGTATTCTGATACATGTTAATGTGATAGTTTTAGCTGCATTTTTTAACTGTTAAAACTGAGTTTGTCAAAATGCAGTTCTGAAATGTAAGAAAGTACTGTCATATTTTTGTTTTTCTTATTGCAGACGGCAGTAGAGATAGTAGTATTGAAAAGAATGTTTCAGCTAGTGGTAAAACACCATGTAATCAAATGCTTTAACAATACTGTTAAAGAACGGGCAATTGTATAGCTGTAAATACTCCCCCACTCTCTATTCTAAATTATTCAAGTATGTGAATTAGTTTATGAATTGTGTTTTTGTGGTATTGGTTTCCTCCCTTGATGTCAGAGACCAAGTTTCACACTCATACAAAACAACAGGTAGAATTATAGTTTTATATATTCTACTTTTTATGTTTTTAGACAGCAGACGAGAAGACAAAAGATTCTGGACTGAATGGTAGCTAGCATTACCCAAATTCAGTCTCCTCTTAATTTCCTCCTGAATCAAGTTTTGATTTGTTATTGTTATTCCTAAATACCTGAACATCTCTTAACTATCTTTATGTTATGATTTCTCCCTGCATTCTGGTGATGAGACTGCAACATATACTTAGTTCTCTTTGTGTTTTCTTTTAGGCCTACTCCCTTACTAGCATCATTAAAAGTTTCTGTGTTTTTCTTTATTGTATCTATATTATCACCCAGTAGATCCATATCATCAGCATAGATCAGCAGCTGATGTGTCTCATTTAATTTCAGTCCCACCTGGTTTTGCTAGACCTTCCTAATGGCATATTTTAAAGCAAAGTTGAAAAGCAGTGGCGATAAAGCATCTCCTTGTTTTATACCATTCAGGATATGAAAATAACAGACAAATGTTTACCTCTACAGACTTCACTATGTGTTTTGTTTGAACACATATTAAGCAGGTACCCCAAACTCTATGTGAATATTGTACAATACTTCCTGACTGAATAACAGGCTTTATTGAAGTCTATGAATAGCTAATGTACTTTCTCATTGTACCCCCCAGTTTTTTTCAAGTATCTGGTGAATGCCAAAGATCTGATCGGTAGTTGATCTGTCATGTCAAATCCCACACTTCTGATCCCCAATAATTTCATCTATACAGGATGTCCCAGGAGGAAAGGCCAGTATTCTTGGAGGTCATAATAATGTTAATTCTGAACAAAAAAGTGTATATGTACGTTCCCTATTCTGAATGGTTTCCGAACTAACACAATGGATGTTATCACCCTTATAAAAGGACATCAAGGTGCACTCAGACGAGCAACATACCATGTCTTCACACAATTTGCAAAGTGCATTGATGTTGATGGCGGAATTTTCTAAAATGTATTATACTAGGTAAACTGTACCAACTTTGTCACTTGAACAATAAATACTGGTATTAGAAACAGTAAGTAATAGCTCTATCTTGTCAACAATTTTGGAACTGTACAGTGAAATAGCTCTATCTCGAAACCCGTTTGGATTAGGACACATGCACATGTACAATTTTTTGCTTAGAATGGTTGATACTGTGACCTCACAGAATATTGACCTTTCCTCCTGGAACACTCTATATATGGACTTAGCCTTGAGAGAAGGATATTGGATAAAATTTTGTATGAAGTTGAAGGCAGTGATATCCCATGATAATTACTACAGTCAGTTTTATCGCCCTTCTTGTGAAATGGTACAGTTGTACCAATTTAACATCATAATATTAACATTTTAATATTTTTAATTATATCAGTTTTAACAGAGAGACTACATAGAGCTTTACGTTAGTATACAGCAACTAGAAAATTATTTTGAAATAAAAGCATTCACCAATGCAGGGGAAACAACACATAAGCCGATGGTGAAAACAAATTGTGTTAACTCATGATGATGGCTGAAAGGCCTAAACATGTAGTAAAACTGTTTTGTATGATGTAGCTTTTCAAGTAATTGTGATTATGGAACCAAATTGTCTCTCACACTGTGACGCTGCAGTACTGTATTTGTAATGAAACTTTGGTTTCTCTCTGTCTCTCTCTGTGGATGTGTGTGCACACACAGAAGATTTGAAGATTGATTTTGATTGGTCAACTTTTTCATTTTAACATTTCAGAACTCAAGGCATAAATGCACATTTATTTCTAACAATTATTATGTCTTTGTTATGTTCAGGTTACTGGTGAAAATGTTCCTCAGCCCATAGACTCTTTTGTATATGCAGGGCTCTGCCCATTTGTCCTAAACAATATAAAGAAATCTGGGTACTTGAAACCAACACCAGTGCAGAAATATGCTCTTCCAATAATAATGAGTGGACGAGATCTGATGGCTTGTGCCCAGACAGGGTCCGGAAAAACGGTATGTGTGTTTGCGAAATAGAAACGATGTTACTTATAATTTTATGTACACACAGAATACCAGCATTTCATAACTTTTCTCATTCCGTCTCTGAGCTAGCAGACTATCTTAGGTACAGAGTTACTCTTTGCTCAGACTGTTAATTATCACTTTCAACTTATGCAGCATGCTAAGCATACAGGATTGGAGGTTATCGTGTTTTTTATGTTAGATTCCATAATGATTCTGATGTAAAGCACCTGTACCCAAGATAGTTCTAGGAAGTGAGAAAACCATAAATGAGAAAAAATTATTGTATTTGATGTTATAGTGTAATCTTTTATATGTACCTTGATAATGCCATAGTCTATCCTAATTTATTCCATATAATTTACTCCATGTTCTAGCATCCTTTCTATTTATACAGGCCGGTGAACAGTAAATTTCCAGTCTCATCTATCTTCCCACAAATTTCTCTTTTCAATTTGTAGCCAGGTCTATCCTCTCTTCTTGGTGTAGTACCTGGCTGAACCATCTTGCCCTGGGTCGTTCCATAGGTTATTTTCCTTTAAATTTTAATTATTATGCCGTTCTCAGTGTCCTTTTGCTATCCATTTTTTACATGACCAAACCAATGTAATAATTTCTCTTCTAATTCTGTTACAAACCTCAAATTTCAATTTCCTCTCCAAAATTTTCATGTCTGATTGTACATCTTGTTTTTCTTTAGCGCTTCCCAGTAATTTCATATCTGTTGCTTGGATTATTTTTTGTAAGGATCTTTTAAATGTTAAAAATTGGTTTAAAATATATTCTATAAATTACCGTTTTGTGTTGTGTTGAATCACTCTGTTCTGTAATGTCGTTTTGTGATTTAAATATTCCTTTTACTGTTGTGATTGAAATTTATTTTGTCGTCTTCTGAATGGTGTGGAAGAGTTGCTATGTGTTCAGAATTACTTTATGTTTACTTTCTTATTACTTCAGATTGTAATGTGTGAAAGATACCTTGTACTTTTTTGCAGGCTGCCTTCTTGCTTCCAGTGATCGACGCATTGCTCAGTGATCCAAGAGATTTGATAATATCAGGACATCATTGTGAGCCACATGTTGTAATCATGTCACCCACCAGGGAGTTAGCACTTCAGATATATAGTGAAGCAAGGAAATTTGCATATGGATCAACTGTGAAAACTGTAGTGGTTTATGGTGGGATTCCTGCCTACCACCAGGCCCAACAAATTATGGTAAGCGAATCTCTGAATGAAGGGATAACTTGTTTGTAACTGATCTGTCTAAAGTGTTTGCAAGTGTTAGTACTGTGTAGTAGAACATGTCCAAAGTGTGGGATTAAATGGAGACCGCCTTTATCTGGAAACTTCTCCCATTCAAGGATATTTAGTAAAGTAGTGCAATGTTCCCTATACCTTATTCATACAGTTTTAACAGCAAAATGGAATACTTTAGTATAAAGTAACCTGTTCAAATGTTTATTACTTTCTGGTATTCTGCATGCCCTGTAATGTGTCTGAGAAGCAGCTGTGGCTGTGGGTTATGGGCTGGATGGCTGTTGAATTGAGTTGAATNTTTTATTATTTATTTCAACTCTTTGATACCTGTTTTTGAGGTATGATTTGATCCATTCATTAGCTTTGCCAGTTATTCCATAGAAATTTAATTTCGATAGTAAGATATCATGATTAACACAATCGAAAGCTTTTGCTAGATCACAGAAAATCCCTCCCACAATTAATCTGTCATTGAGAGCACTTAAAATATCGTTAGTTAGTTCATAGGTTGCTTTTTCTGTTGTTAGGTCTTTCCTAAATCCAAATTTCTCTTTGACTAATATGTTGTTAGAATTTAAGTGTTCAAATAGTCTATTATACATAACTTTTTCAAAGACTTTTGAGAATGAAGTCAATATGGATATTGGTCTGTAATTAGAGATGCATTTTCTCTCTCCTTTTTTAAAAATTGTTGTTGTTTGTTTATTGGCAGGGGCAAGAGATTTTTCTCTCTCCATCATGTCCAGACAGCTTTGGGACTCACTGAGCCTCCTATTTATGTGTATCAGGGGCACTTTCCGCAGGGGAAAGCAGCTGTGGCTTGAAGCTGAACTCACCTCCATCTTGTGCCGAAGTCTCCCATGCCTTTTCATGCCATGGCACTTAATTTATCACTGGCATAGTATTACCCTTACCTCATTGTTTCATTACGTCACTTCTTCGGCTCTGTGGACCTATATTATAGTATTCTATATGATGACTGTGTTTCCATTTCAGAGAGGCTGTCACATCCTTGTTGCTACGCCAGGCCGACTGATTGACTTTTTGAGCAAAGGCCGAATTACGCTCTCATCTGTACGCTTTATGGTCCTTGATGAAGGTGACCGTATGTTGGATATGGGCTTCTTACGCAGTATTGAGGAAATAATGGAACATCCCACCATGGTTCCAAAAGTGAGATTTACATTATACTCGCTCCAGAATGTTTCATTTAACTTTTGCATTAGTTTATGTTGCATATACAGCCAGTAAATGTTTTAGTACTCTTTTCACCGATCCAAGAGGTCAAGACTTTATGATAATGAGGTTGTATGGTTGTGATGTTACACTGTAATAAACAGGTGAAAACAAAGCAGAATTGTACATATGAGGGAAGTATTTTTCATGTATGTGAGGTTGCTCAGGAGACCAGAACACAAATGAGAGAATAGTTGGCAGTTTATTAAATTATGACTTGAAGAAAGACACACAAAGTACTATACTGAACAATTTTTAATCTCAGTAATTTTGATCAGGCTTGAGAAAGAAGCATCTGGTGACATTTTGCAACTGTGCAGTACTGGTGTAAGTTTGGGTTATTCTTTCTGTGCACACACCAAAGAGGTTGGCATAGCAGTTTGACTTTTGGCCAGGACAGTGGCTGTTATGACTGAGGTTTTCATGTTTTTTTTTTCTCAGTCCTTTCAGGCAAATGCAAGAATAGTTCCTCAATTAGGCCATGACCCCATCCTTCCAAATCCTTTCCAATTCATCCATCATCCCACTGTTTGAAGTTGTATAGCGTGTGATGCTGAAGGCATCATAAAGTCACCCACAAAAGAAAAACTTTGATCAACTCTTGTTTGTTATATTGTAAGGGCAGCGTTAAATAGGTGTGCCTTGTTTCATTTACACTGCAGCCAAATAAAGTAACTCTGGCATTGCTGCCCTTCTTTCTTCTACTCCTCCCCCCACTCCCTCAGTCTATGGCAAACAGCTAAGATCAACAAAATATTGACAAGTGGTCAGTTCATATCGGCTTTTATATATTAAAGAACTTCAGTGTTGTACTGTAACATCAAAAAGCTTATGGATAAACACTATAGATGACTAATTTTATTGCACTTGAAACTTAGCCACATAGCATAAGTAGTGTATTCTAACAGCATATTTCCTGCTGTCTGATGGAGTAGGGAGTGTCTTTAATGTGGTAATTTTAATCTGATTCTAGGAAGAACGACAGACTTGCATGTTTTCTGCAACATTTCCAGAAGACATTCAACATTTGGCTAGAAAATTTTTGCATAACTACCTCTTTTTGGGAGTTGGCATTGTAGGAGGTGCATGTTCAGATGTGGAGCAGCATGTCCACATGGTGACGAAGTTTCAGAAACGTCCTAAGCTGCTAGAACTCCTCTTCCAAGATGGTTGGTAGCTTAGGTTAGACCTTGCTTTCTTAATTAAAATAGTGTATACAGTAAATTATACTGTGGTATGATATTTGTACAGATGGTGAGAAGATATTGGTGTTCGTGGAAATGAAGCGTACAGCCGACTTCATAGCCTCATATCTGTGTGATAACAATGTTCCCACAACAAGTATACATGGAGATCGTCTGCAGCGAGAACGAGAGACTGCTCTTTGTGACTTCAAAACTGGTCACATGCGAGTGCTGGTGGCAACTCCCGTCGCTGCACGAGGGCTCGGTAATTCTCAGAAATTAGCTGTTAACTGTTAGTCACTTACTGAAAACAGCACATATGTGCTTTATAGGTAGAACATATCGTCACCTGTTGTCCATGTAACGTGACAAATCAATTCATGCAGGTCTCGGATTTAGCGAATAAGTTTATTGGCTAATCTTTTCCACACTTCCAAGTACAATTATCATCCACTTATACTGTTGTCAGATGTTTCTTATGACACTGTTACAGTTACTTCTTGCACCGCTAATCTCAGTGAAGTCTTCTGTTCCCTTGGAGTTTCCTGAAGACTGGCTTCTTCTAAGGTCAGCTACAAACTGCAAGCTGAAGACTGAACTCTTGTTGAAGCTGGAGTCTTATATAACCTGCTTTTGGACGGAATAGAGCGCACCATCTATGAGCCTTTTGTCTCAGCCACTGTTATACAATGAACCTTTTGTTGTCCCTTCATCTCCAGGGAAACGCATTTGTTGCTTAAGGCAACGGCCCATTGGTATTGTGTTTCCATGGAAGTATACATTCCAGGTTCCTGGCGGAGCGCGACAATATTTTCAAATGATAAAATTGTCGTCAGGACTATAAATGGTGCAAAATCAGAAGTTTTCTTGGAAGATAGGATATATCATGCATTAACATGCATTGCTGGATGAAATTTCGAACATTGCTCTCATTTCAGATATTAAAAATGTCTCTCATGTTGTGAATTATGATCTGCCCAAGAGCATTGATGAGTATGTACATCGTATTGGAAGAACAGGACGTGTTGGCAATCGTGGTAAGGCCACAAGCTTTTATGATCCAGAAGTTGATGGGGCCTTGGCCAGAGATCTTTTGAAGATCCTTCAGCAGGTAAGGAAATTGAATATTGTGATATTATAGTTTTATTCATTTGCTGGTTATTTTTAGCATACTCAGTCTGCAGCCACCTGCTCATGCTGATTCCTTGCTCACGGATTTTTCTACCCTGAAAATGGAAGCGATATGTTCCTCTAAAACGCCGGTTTACACAAGATCTGCACAGCGCCACATCCCAGAAAATAGCATTCTTAATATGAAATTGCTGCAAATTATGTTTCTTCTTGCATCCATGGGTTAGACGACTTATTGCCTGTACTGGAGTGAGTGACCAGAGTGTGAAACTTGTCTCCATGTAGTGCCAAAGTGGAATGAATGTGGAGATTGACATCCATTTGCCCTACTTCATGATGTAATATATGTAGTAGGTTTCTTTCACTTTGCATACTGCATACTTCATGGAGTAAGGTACGAGATGGCATAGTTTCATCATTGGGTGAGCTGTAGTTCACAGTTCTTTATTATGCAGTCTTTATAATTTTGTGTCGAATATGTTATGAACAGGTATTATATATGTGTGGTTTATTCAGGCTGTTAGTAATGAGCCTTCAGGAACTTTCTGACAAGCTAAACCTTTATCACCTTCTCAAGAACGCTGTTGTGGGATCCGCCCACATTGAATCAAATGTTGCAGAGACACAACTTCAGACACCATAGTTGCAACCGTAGCTAGGAAACATTCACTGCTATGAAACCACTCAATAATAGGGTACCCATGGAAGCAGTTCAGTACAACACAATAACATAACACCTGGTTTTACTATTCTGTTTTTGCATTGTACTTAACTGCTTCCATGTATACCTTATTGAGTCGTTGCATAGCATCGAATGTTTCCTAGTTATGGTTACACTGTGATCCAAGAATTAATTGTATGTGGTTTATTGGATTTGACATCATATGTGTACAATATTTTATACTTTTGTCTTTAGTACTCTTATACATTTCTGTACAGTATTTTATATCTTGTAACTTTCCGTTTCGTTTTTGTCAGGTCTTGCCATCTGCTTAACGGGGAGGCTGCTGTGTATGTATGTTACCGGCTATGATTATGCGATGTAGAACTTTGGGGCAGTGTTGTAAGTTCTGGGGGTAATTAGACGTTTTATTTCCTACTATTTATCATAATTGTGGGCTAGGAAAACTGAAGATGGAATGAAAAATATTTAATAAAATTCCATATGTTGTTTCATCAAGATTTCTTTTTTAAAAGTATTGTTGAATAGGTTCAGTTGGTCTTGTCTTCAATACCTGTTTTTGTGGAAAGTGGTCTCTGTGTGTGAATGATGCCATGGAGCCAAGATAACTCAATCTGTATAATGGCAGGCTATGGGCTGGATGGCCAGGGTTCTATTCCCAGCAGGGGCAAGGGTTTTTCTCTGCTTCACAGCATCCAGACTGGCTCTGAGTTCCACCCAGTGCTGTATACAGTGGGGGTAAAGCAGCTACTGTGTGAAGCTGATTACTCACCTCCATCAAATGCTGAGGTGAATAAGTACTCCCACTCACATACACATCTCCATGGCATGTTGCTTAATTAATTAAGCACAGGAATAACTTTACCTTATGTTTGAATGATACCAGGGCCACGCAGTAGTGTAGTTGATTGAGGCTGTATGCTGCAAGCCAGAAGGACGCAGGATCAAATCTCGATCAGGTGGATTTTTTCAATTAACATAATCCTTCCAGCTGCACCATGGCCCTGGTGTTGACTCAGCCTCTAACAGAAATGAGTACCAGGAATATTCTTTGGGGTAAAGGGCAGCCAGTGTGTAAGGCTGACAACCTCACTCCCATCTATGAGCTGATTGTCTAGATAATGTGGGAACCTCAACATCTCACAACCCTATGGGCCTCCACGGCCCATTAAGGGATAACTATATTTTTTTTTTTTTTTTGCCTCTTCCAGGATGTGTCTTATATATTAGTCTGTGGCATCCTTCCCCTAATGCTGCTGCTGTATCTTTGCCCACAGTTGCTCTGCTCTCTTAAGTATATGTGTGTCTCCACTTCATCCTTAACTCCCAGGGGTTTATTCACTGTTTCATTAAGGAAACCGTGTGGGATTGATAGAAGAGAAGCACAGAAGTGATTGTGCTAAGCATAATATAAATTAATAAAATCACTGTTAATGAAGCTACATGATCGGTTAACATTGTGTGATTTGCTGCAGGCAGATCAAAGCATTCCACCCTGGCTGAAGGAGAGTGCATCTAGCAAATTATGTTCATCCCAGTTTCAGTTTTTTCGTTTTGGAGGGAACGATGTCAGAAAGGTAAAGTGGTTTACAGTTTTGCCATCTTGTAGCTGATCAAGCATTTTCACAAACTTTAATAATATCCTAGCAATGAATAATGCCCCATAATGGGTTTTTGGATGTCCATTTTGAGATGTGAACCCAGCATATCTTGTAGAGCCTACAGCCTTATCACTAGACAAACCTAATTGGTTCTTCCCATCTCATATATGGTATATTCTGCATTTGAGATTTCCCATTTTGTGTCCTTGCCTTTGTATTCCATGATCTTCCGCATCATCTCGTATGCAAACTGCCATTCACTTACCTTCCCGTTATTTCAGTTCCTCTGAATGTAGATGTCAGGAATGGTTCTTTACTATATTGGACTTACATCACTAAGAAACATAAATATGAAATTTTGACCAAAAAAATTAACAGAACTTGCGAATTTAAGTAAATTTTTGTGCAACATGGATAGGATTGAAGCATATCTGGCATAACTCCATGGAGTTACATAGTTTGAGACATTAGTGAAATGCTTATCCAAAATTTATTATGTTCAATACTGAACAGTTTGTAACATAAAAAGGACCAAGTGCTTTACATTTGTTAATGGGGAACAAGGGATTTTTAATCTCATGGTTCTTTGGGATTGGTGGAAGGATTTGATTTGTAGGAACAGTTTATTGTCCATGAATAGAGGATATTACATCTTCCAGTAATACAGGGCTAGTGGCCGTATTTTAACTTGGAAGTAATGATATTCATTTTGAAAGAATGCAGCACTTGGACATCTGGGCCACAAACAGTTTTCTCTGAAATGTTGGAAACTGCCTACGAGATTACATGGTTGGTAATGCAGAAGCCCATAATTCAAACATTAAGCGAAAGGTTTAAGCTATGTAAAGTATCCTCATTTTGTTTTATTGCATTTGTTCATAGTTTGACACTGATGACGAACCACCTAGCTTTCTGGGAGATGGCTCAGGGAGTAGTCATAGACATCCCGAGCCTCTTGAACCCGAGGAAAAGTGGAACTGAGGGAGAAGCTATAAGAAAATTTCAAACTTGGCTGTGTTTTGTATTAGTACAAAGTTATATTCTAGTTAACATTGATATTTACTGTTCCATTGATGTTTATGTTAATACAAGTTGTGTGTTAGTTAAGGTGACACTGTCACTTCCATTGATGTTTATGTTACAAATTTATTTGTAAAGCAAGAAGTTTAATTTTCTGACTGGGTAGGTTTTACCCATAGTGTTTATTGCTGCGGCTGTGATGAAGTGCATATTAAATCATAAGAGAATATTTGAATATGCATGGATAAAGCTTGTTATACTCAAAATTCATGGTATGTTAATGGCCTGTTTTGTGGTGGATATATAGCTTAGCAGGCACAGTGTGCAATATACATTACCACTTTAACCACTTCTGCAGGTAGCATATTCCTTAGTTGATGATTGTTCTTTTATTTAACAAAATATTTTGTTCAGTTCTCATTTAGTATTGTATCTGCATTTGATCAAAACAGTTTTAAATTCCAGTAAATAAAACTGTTATATGAAATTTCATGTGTTTGGTTGATGAAAATATAAATTTAAATTACATTTCACACACATGTACATACTACTATGTATGTAAGTGAAAGGCTTACCATTCTGTCATTGTCTGGCAGAGTTGTTTATAGTTACAGATAGGCAAGTGATAGTGAGGCCTACCTGTGCTTAAGTCAGCATTGCAAACCTCACATTTGCCCTAAAAAGAAATTTGTTGTTGCTCTGTGCATATTCAGTGAAACTGTAATTTCACGTCAAAGTGTGGGTCACTGCAGTGGGGAGAAAATGTTGTAACATATAGGAATTGTTTATTAAGAAGGTTCCACCTATTTGTTGCATTTGAAATCATAATAATATGTGGGTTTTTATTAATAAGGGAAGATTACAAAATGGTGTATATAGTAGTAATGTCAAAACAATAGCTATAGTACAATTTATAAGGAGTCTTATGATATCTTCAATATTTCTTAGCTCCCACAGATAATTTTGCTGTGCTTGTATACCACAAGGAGTATTGCTTCTCTCCCGGTATGATTTCTTTCTCTGGTGCTAAGCCTCAAATTATGATAGCTTCAATATCGCTTAGCTCTCACAGATGGATTAAGTTGTGCTTCTTTTATGAATCCCTTCGGAAATTGGCATAGTTGTCCGGAGATAGGGGCTAGCTCTGTCTATTGGACCCAACTGAGTAGGTTTTACCTGAAGACAGGGACAGAATCCAGTTCCCGAAACGTTGTGTTTTTAATAGAAATTAGACTGTTTTTAGAATAGACAAGATGATGGATAATGTCCAGCAAAATATTAATTGTAGTCTTGGTGTTTCTTTGGTGTCTGACGTAAAATTCTCTGCAGACTGTTATAGCTGTCAAGTTGACAAAGTTTGTTTTGTAGCGTATAGTGACAGGCTATGGGCTGAAAAGCTGGAGTTTGATTCCTGGTAGGGGCAAGAGATTTTTCTCTTCTCCATCACATCCAGACTAGCCCTGGAGCCCACCCAGCTGACTATCTGATGGGTACTAGGAGCTCTTGCCCCAGAAGTAAAGTAGCCAGGGCATTAAGCTGAATACTTTTCTCCATCTAGTGCCAAGGTCAAGAATGGTGGAGCTATACCTCTCCTCCACATATCTTCACTGTGTGGTGCTTAATTAATTAACCAAAGGGAAAACTTTACCTATTTTTACCATATTTGCTGAAACTACTTTCTGTAGATAGCACACCCACTTAGCACATATTGTTATTCTGTCAAGTTAAGTATCTTACTTAAATATAGCAGTCTTTACAAACTTTTCAAATGATTTGGGTTAGGTGTATTTAATGAAATATTTTTAACAACTTCCCATCTAAATTTGGGTGGGCTTTATGGTAGTACAAAAAGTGAAACAAAATTAGTGAACAAGCTCTCTACAGGGTGATTCCTTGTTTAAAAAAACAGGTCAAAATTATATACAACATGGCCTGAGATGCATAGTTTTCAAGATACTTGTCTCTGTCAAATGGGGTAACATTTTTCCTCAATATTCCTTGTCAAGACAGTACAAATACATAGTGTGTTGTTAGGTCTGCTCAGGACACTACACAGCAGCCATCAGTTATGATCGAAAGATTGTGGAATACACATGTAATGAATAATGTGACCTTAACCTTCGGTTCCACTAAGGGCGAGGGCACACCAAGGAAACCGGCAATCGCAATTTCCGAGAATTCTTATCAGCCTGAGTTGAACACATGTTACTGAATGGAGCAGTGCAAATTGAGGAAACGGCAAAACACTTGCAGTTGCGTTGCGGTTGCCAGTTTCCTTTGTATCCCCCGCCCTAATATTGTCGAGCTTGTTCTGCTGCATGGGAATACGTGCTACGTTATCCTGGTTGATGTTATGTAGAGGGACTATCCTAATTGAGAATCTTCACTGTCTTCACTTAACATACTGCCCTCAGCTGTGCCAGTAGAAATAAACTGAACTGCATTGTTGCCATGTGAAAGTAGTTATCGTGTTTCCCCTTCTGTGAAATTTCTACCCCCTGCCCCAGACACAGACATCGTCATGTGAGCAAATCTATTTGATAACTGGTGAAAATATCAGTCTGGGACATGGTATTTGAATGACTTTAAAATAAACAAAACACCGTAATGATTTAATATATTACAGGAAACTACAAAATTGATGTAGTGAATATTGTGTGTGAAGGCAAACTTTACCTTTTTGTCTCGTACAAAGTTCTTCTCACATGGTGATTTGCTGTGATCCGAAACCAAACCTCTCTTGAGCATGTCCACAATTAACTCATAATTGTTCTTGTTTATGCTGTAAACATAAATATTAAATATTTATCACATGAAAATAAAAAGAAAATTCATTACTTAACTTCCTCACTAGAATTTTAATCCTACTGCAAACTGAATTAACTTCTCAAAATTAAAATCCACTCCCCATGCACCGTCATGCCACAGTGCATAATTAGTTAAGCATAGGGACAACTTTATTTTTACTTTTTTTGATTGTGCATCATTATCATGCTTAACATGATTGAAGGATTATCACTAGGAACACTATAGTGGAGACCTTACTAATCACACAGGACACTTCTGTAAGGTTATGTGTTGTGCACCACAAAAAGATATTTTACAGAGAATCTAGTACTATACAGGGTGAAAATAAAGACTAGTACAAAGAATAACCAACAATGTTACAATTATATCATAGCCCTATACTTCAGACTTGAGGTCATATTCACCTATGTGATAATTATAAGTAAAATATCCCTGTTGCATGTATTTATTTATGCAACTAGAGATATACATATATGTTTTGGCTGAGGACAGGAGCAGCCTGCATATAGGAACTGTGGAACTGCAGCACCCCCAATTTCCACTTGATATTATCGATAACATTTATATAATGAGTCCTTTTTTCTTTAATTCTTTCTTTATACTTGTACAATACAATATATAATCCTTAAGCTTAATATCAGTAGCCAAATCTTTGTATGGAACAGTGAGTTTCACAGTTCCAGCAGCCAGGTGTTTGTTGACTGTGCGCATGCGCATGCGCATATAGGAAGCTACACACGAGGCTGCAAGGGAGAGGGAGCACTGTCTTTTCCGCAGTGCCGACCCTGGCGTGCTGATAGAAGGTAGTTTTTTTTACTCCGCGGGTGTTGTGCTTAAAAAATATGAGTTAATTGTAGAATTAGATTATTACCTGCTTCCAGCTATTCTATTTGATTCTTTTTTTTTCGGTTCTTTTATTTAACAGAAAACTTTAACCATGGCCTTGCATCCCCGAGAAATAAGTTATGTGAACTTCAACAGCTTAAGTTTTCACAACTGTCTCTCCATGAGAAAGTTGCAGTTAAGAAAGGAGGTCGTTTAACACCTGATATTCTAATATCTCAGCCAGGCATAAGCAAGAACAAGAAATATATTCGTAGCTTTAATTCTGAATGGTACAAACGGAGAAGTTGACTTTGCGGCTGTGAAGTAAAAAATGCACTGTTTTGCTTCCCGTGTTTGCAGTTTTGGGGGTGATGTAACGTGGACAAAAGATGATTTTAGAAATATAAACAAAATGAAAGAAAAAACTGAAAAGCATGAGAAGTCAAAGAAGCACGTTGATAATGTAGTTTCACTGTCACTTTTAGTAACCGTAAGTATTATGGAGAAACTTAGTGAGGCATACAGACTTTCAGTCAATGAGCATAATATAAGGGTTAAAAAGAATGGATTTCATTTTTAAATGAATAGATTAAGCTTGAACTGTAACAATTTAGGTTAAAGTATGTAAAAAATGTTTGATTTTGTTCTTTTAGGATTTTATCAAGTTTCTAATAAATTTTCTTTTTATACATGTTTGTTTCCTTTCATACAATTTTAAAACAAAGGCTACAAATTTTCTGGAGCAGCACCCCCACTAATTTTAGCTACGAGCCGCCATTAGCTGAGGATATAGTTTCAACTATAAAGCTATGAAGGTAGTTAAAAATGTACAAATATTTCATTATCTTTGTTCAAAGGTCAAAATTAACTCTGTTTTTGTTCTTGTATTTTAATGGAACTCGGCATACGAGAGCTGTGTGATGTTGAGCATCACTTATTTTGTAAGTTGAATAGTTTTGGTGTTAAATTATTATGAGCTGAAGAAGTAATTCCGAACGGATCGATCACCGTGATTGATATCCAAAATGGCGGTTTGTTCAGTGGTTAATGCTAATGACGCTGATGAAACTCCAATTTTCATCAATAATAGCAGTGAAACAAGTGAAGTAACGAGTGCTTGTTGTGATAAATTTAAAATACAATTACAAAAGACCGTAATAGGCCTCAGATGAGCACAAAAAATTATTGAACTGCTACAAGAAGAGATGATCTTAAACACGCCCATTCGGACCGTAAGTACAGACGCATGTTACTTGCATTAAAACGAGAATTCACCACAATTGGAACTCAGAAAAAGGGAACTGAATTCATGTGTTCATGAACTTCATGAATCTCACCTGGAACATCTGGCTAACCTGACGTAGGTTTTTCATGGTTTTTCACGGTACTTCCAGGCAAATGCTGGCTGGAATTAGTATCCCTAATCAGGTGACCACCGCCAAAGAATACGTTATTTTCTGATCATCATCCATTTGATACTATATAGTTTCCACTACGAAGTGAGTTGTGAAATCATGAAAAGAAATGTGGTTCAGGTGCAGTTTTGAATGTTAATAATCGGAAACAACTTTCAGCGCCAGAAGAGGTACTGTCCAACATCAAGATTGAGCCTGATGACAGCGAACTGAAGCTGCAGGAGGCTGTTACAGAATCAGAGAACAATATAGAAAAGGTACATCACATCGGAAGATTTCCTTTTTAATCCTCACAAATGTTTGGCTGTTGTAGGGGACATTTCTCTTGATCAGTCAAGGCCATCTTCCCCTCACCTGCCTGAGACAAGAGAGGAACAGCCCTATGGATAGGTGGTGGGAGGTGATGAAACTGCCCCTAGCTACAGAATCCTGTGCCATA